TGGATACTTGCATGGTGGATGAGGAGGGGGGGATATACCTGCATGGTGGATGTATGCTCTAATTTGCAGTGTTCAGCACACCGTACTGCCTTGATATATGTAGAGGATAGTAATATTGGGAGAGAGTGGAATTACCAATATCATGAAGGGGTCAGCAGCAACAACAGGTTCAGCACACCGTACTGCCTTGATATATGTAGAGGATAGTAATATTGGGAGAGAGTGGAATTACCAATATCATGAAGGGGTCAGCAGCAACAACAGGTTTTTTCAGCTTAACCTTTAATTTCTGGTCCCTTAGTACAAAAAACTGTATTGTACATAGTGTACATGAAAAAGCTATCATGTACTGGTGAAGAGTTGATTCACTTATTAATTGAGGTCACGAGGAATTAATTGCTTACTCGAGTTTACGAAGTTTCAATTTGTGAATTGTAAGATATAATTGTAACTCTATCCTGGGGGGTTAGTTTATAAAATGATTACGTTTCTGTAGAACAGAATCCGATACAAGTATATCAAATATTACAAATCTAAACTATAAATACATTTTTACAGGCGAAATATTACATGGCCTTTGGTTGGTTCAAACGATCAGAGATCTAGACGTTCTTAAATTTTCTTATAGAACTAGTCGCTTTCAGGGGTGTATTCAGGAATTTGTCCATGGGGGGGGCTAAAATTTTTTTCTCTTCTCACCATGGGGGGGCTCAGTACCAGTTGGGGCATGAAAACCCCCTGAAATCAATAGATTTCACTGGTCCAGGGGGGGCTTAAGCCCAATATCCGCCCGTGATTACGCCTCTGGTCGCTTTGTCTTGACTGGGCCAAAATGAGATTTTATCGATTTTGGATTAACAATTGAAAATTAAACTACTTGATCTATTTATCCCCTTCACATGTTCTTGTTAAGATTTATGCCACCTTTATTTTGATTATTTTCTAAAATAATCATTAATTTTTCTGAAAAGTCCCCCTTAAAAGCACTTATTCAGCCATAACAAAAAAAATAAATGAAACTGAGGTTAAAAACCCAATTTCTGTGAATATCATAAAAGATTAGAAATGAGTCCAAGACTTGAACCCGGAAATCTGATCTAATGATTATAAACTGATTAAAGTTTTAAACTAAGTTTTTGTTAAAAACACTAAATTTTCTACTCTGCCTAATACTGGGTCAGCAGACGCAGTCATAATTTTACCATATACCATGCAATTAAATGTAAAGGGTTAAATATGTAAGTAATTCTCAAAAATATTTTTTTTTGCAAAAAGATTAGGGGGGAACTAACTANCTTTATTTTTTTTGCCCCCACTATATATATATATATATATTATATCCTTTACCCTAGTCTATATATCCTGAGGTTAGAGTGAGTTTAGGAAAAATGTAAAAGGTTTACAAGTTGGTTGCCTGTGTTTGTATTGTGGAAACAAATACAAACAAACATTTCTAGAAACTCGGTGATTCTCTACTATGTACATTTGTAGAAACCCGGTAGATTCTCTACTATGTACATTTCTAGAAACCCGGTAGATTCTCTACTATGTACATTTCTAGAAACCCGGTAGATTCTCTACTATGTACATTTCTAGAAACTCGGTAGATTCTCTACTTGTACATTTCTAGAAATTCGGTAGATTCTCTACTATGTACATTTGTAGAAACCCGGTAGATTCTCTACTTGTACATTTCTAGAAATCCGGTAGATTCTGTACTTGTACATTTCTAGAAACTCGGTAGATTCTCTACTATGTACATTTTTAGAAACCCGGTAGATTCTCTACTTGTACATTTCTAGAATCTAGGTAGATTCTCTGCTGTACATTTCTAGAAACCCGGTAGATTCTCTTCTTGTACATTTCTAGAAACTTGTAGATTTTCTACTAGTACATTTCTAGAAACTTCGTAGATTTTCTTCTTGTACATTTCTAGAAACTCGGTAGATTCTCTTCTTGTACATTTCTAGAAACTTGGTAGATTCTCTTCTTGTAAATTTCTAGAAACTTGTAGATTTTCTACTTGTACATTTCTAGAAACTTGGTAGATTTTCTTCCTGTATATTTCTAGAAACTCGGTAGATCCTGTACTTGTACATTTCTAGAAACTAGGTAGATTCTCTACTTGTACATTTCTAGAAACCCGGTAAATTCTCTACTTGTACATTTCTAAAAACCCGGTAGATTCTCTACTATGTACATTTCTAGAAACCCGGTAGATTCTGTACTTGTACATTTCTAGAAACTCGGTAGATTCTCTACTATGTACATTTCTAGAAACCCGGTAGAGTCTGTACTTGTACATTTCTAGAAACCCGGTAGATTCTCTACTATGTACATTTCTAGAAACCCGGTAGATTCTCTACTTGTACATTACTCCCCTTGATCCCCCCTAACACAAAGGCGATATAAAATATCCCCACCAGTTGAATGTTGCCGGGGGACGGAGAGCACCCAACTGTTGCGCGGAGTCCAGGATTTATCCATTTATATAAAAATCCTTGTTCTAGAACTGAAGAGAACACAAGATGGAACACCAGTACTCTCTCAAGTGGAACAATCATCCGCAGAATATTTCAGCTGTATTCGCCAAATTAAGAAATGAAGAGCTTTTTGTTGATGTAACCCTTGCAACTTCGGACAGGCAGGTTGGTCATCGATCATTCACTATTAACGTGTCACTGTTCATTACAATTTTTTCAACTTAAGGAGACGAACTTTAAATATAGACACTTGTTAAGATAAATTTACTTTACCAAGGGTTTTTAAGACTAATTCGGGCTGTAAGACGATGCATCAAGAACATAGCCAGGAAACAAAATGTTTTGAATTTCTTGATATGTATCAGGATTAATTTGCATACTTGTGCTTAAAACCGAGAAGCTTCGAGGTCACAAAATCGTACCAGTAATGTCGCATGAATTTGACCTTCTCCTGTAGTCTAGTTCACAGTGATTTAATAAGATCTCACAGAACGTTTTGGGTTGGAAAAGTGTTCTAAATTTTCTTTTAAAGCTTTTACGATGGTCCATTACATACTTTATTATGGATTAAGATCTGATCAGATGATTATAGGATTTTAAACTAAGTAAATATTGGATAACAGGATTTCAGGGATAGAAGATATTTACAAGAATGAATTTAATTGATTTTGTTTGTAGATTATCAGAGCCCATCGTGTTGTTCTGTCTGCTGGAAGTGTGTACCTGGAGAAGATTTTAGCGATCACACCTAGCGAGCATCCTACCCTTGTTCTATCCAACCTCAAGTATAAAGAACTTAAACTCCTGGTTGATTTTATGTACTCAGGTATAGACCCCATCAATTTAATTATTTTATTTATTTCAGAAGATAAAATTATACATGTAATGTGAAATATTCTTATTAACATGAAACCTTAATGTTTAGGTGAGATATCTGTAGATCAACCTCTACTGGGAAGCCTCCTAGAGGCCGCTAACTGGCTCCAGGTTAAGGGTCTCTATGAGAATGGATTGGAACAGGATCCGGAGCTAGAACATGAGCGTTCAGAAACTGAACCTAGTATTGCAAGTAGTGAACCCAAATCTCCGGTAACTCTAGATCTAGACCAATATCGTAGAAAGAGGAACCACAGCGAGGAGAGCGAGATCAGATGTGAATCCCCTGAATCCCAGAAGAACTCCTCACCCCCAACCAAAGTACCCAGATCTGTGTTTGGATTGACGAACACGGGTTGGATAATGGATTCAATCAAGGAAAAGTGTAGTGAAGAAGTCAAAGTAAATGATATGCCAGACATTCCAAACCTTCTTAACCTAGCAACCCATCAAAATTTTTTACAGCATTTAAAAACTGAATCGCCCAGTAAACCTGTTCTAGAACCCTCTATAAACGAACACATGCTTCAAGCAATGCAACTCTGTGGAACATCGTATCTAAGTCAGCTCGCAGCACTCCAGAACTGTTCCCAGAGCAAACCCATGTCTTCATTCACCGGTTCTTTCACGTCCTACGCAACCAGCAATGCAATGTCCTCCGGTTTCAAGGGCGGACTCCTCAACTCTGCTCCGGTCCGGAGATACAAACAGTATTCAGAGGATACTCTCCAGGCAGCGTTAAAGGAGATCATGGAGGGACAGTCTATCAATAGGTCGAGTATGAAGTATAATATCCCTGCTAGAACACTACGGGATTGGATGAAAAGGTTGAATATCAAGTCTGTGTATACACACCATGCCAAGGATAAGGATGGGAGTATAGGAAGCACGAGCCCGGAGCCGGAGATAAATCTATCTTTAAGTGAAAAATTTAGAAACGTGGCTTTCCCTGGACTATCGGCCAACAGCTCCGGAGATATCGACGAAGATGACACTGAAACCCTGAAAATTGACGAGAGTTGTCAAAGTTTCAGTTCAGTCGCGGAAATGGCGGCGTAAACATTTGCATTTTGCTTTCTTTGTGGCATTTATAGTTTATATTGATATATTATATATTTTATTATTATCGCACGTGGCATTTTCCCCCCGGGGCATTTATTCATTTGATAAAACAACAAGACAACGTCTTCCATTTAATGTTTAAAGATTAAACTAGTGTCTGAATGAATGTAGCAAATGTTTTTAAAAAGTGTGTTTGTGATATTTTTGTTTTTCCATTGTTCTGCACCAATATTTACTAGAGTTTATGCACTGTATTCGCACTGTAACCGAGTACTGTCCGTATTGGCTTTCACCAAAAGTGCCTTTTTAACCCTTTTAACAGGTTTATATTATTTAGTGCCATTATCATGATTATTTGTACATTCCTCTATAATGTGATGACTGAGTTATTGAGCTTTCATAATAAAGTTTTGCAAGTTAGTATTTTCTAATAAATGAAGTGAAATAATTATTATTTTTCTAATGAATAATTACTGAAAGAACTAATACCATGCTTTTAGGGTTCTTCGCGCCCATCTTATATTTCAATAAAAGTTCGCGGATTTAATGATATTTTTCACGCATTTTTAAACTTTCAATGAAAAAATTTTTAACACAAATTTTTCTAATGCATCCATAAACCTTCCTGGAGGTCTTGCAAGGTCCAACATAAAATTTGGGCCCGATCGGTTTAGCCGTTCTGACGTTTATTGGATACAAACAGTCAGACAAGCAAAGTATTTATTTAGGTCAAAGGGACAGAAAAGGAAAAATGAAAGGGGGTATAGGCTGAAAGCTAATCACTTTAGCTCTTGATCGCGACCCATGAAAGTCATATCTGATGTTCCTGTCTCGAGAAATTAATTTAAACGGTGTGAGGAAGGATTTGAACTTTGGGAGGAAGTATTTAAACGGTGTGAGGAAGGATTTAAACATTGGGAGGAAGGATTTAAACGGTGGAAGGAAGGATTTAAATGTTGGGAAGAAGTGTAAAAACATCTGGAGGTGGATTTAAACGGTGGGAGGAAGGATTCGAACGGTAGAAGGAAGGGTTTAAACATTAGGAGGAAGGATTTAGTGTTGTGAGGAAGGATTTAGACGGTGAGGGGAAGGATTCAAACGGTGGGAGGAAGGATTATAATATTGGGTGGAAGGATTTCAAAGTTGGAAGGAAGGATACAAACGTTAAGGGAGTAGGATTCAAATGTTGGGAGGAAGGAATAAAATCTTAAAATAAAGGGTTAAAACGTTGGGAGGAATTGGATTTTAACATCGACAGGAAGGAGTTAAACATTAGGAGGAAGGTTTAAACAAAATTTGCATCTTATTACCCAAAAATTCTGAATTTAAAACTTTCAAAATTGTTTTGGTACTCCGCGCAATCAAACATAACTTCCGGAGGAAAAAATGATGAATATTCAATTTATTTAATAAATCTAAATTGTCTTAATATCTAATACAGGGTGTCCCACGAAACATGACAGTATACAGGACGACTTGAATGTCGTCTTGATTTTTGATATAATTTGCTGCGTTTATTTTTCAATCTAATTTTAGAAGTAAATTTCTAGAGATAATAATCACAAAATTTCCCTTGTCCTACCATTTCCAAAATGTGGTCTGCCTTTTTTGTGCTTTCAATATTGCCCGAGATATGAAGAATTTCGTTCAGATTTCGACAATTTTGCTTTTATTTAACAAAATTGAAATCTGAACCAAACTCTTTATATCTCCGGTAATATTGAAAGCACAAAAAACGCAGACCACTTTTTGGAAATGCCAGGGCTAGGAGAATTATGTGATAATTGTTTCAAGAATCATGCACGTTAAAGTAGATAGAAGACTAAATGTCACAAATAAATTCAAATACCAAAGACGACTTTCAAGTCGTCTTCCTATTGTCATGTTTCGTGGGAGGAAGGGAAATACAAGCAGATGTAATATTAAAAGAGCCTCCCTCATGGGTGCCCCCTCTCAGTCTCTGAGGGGGGGCACGCGTAGAGGGGGCGGGGGGCGCGCCCCCCCCTCGTATGCCCCTGTCAATATGTACACAGAGTATACACAACCGCTATTGACTTTCCTTGCATTACACCCTTGCTTACACCTCTGAAATAACTATCTTTACATTATACTTCTTAGGCTCAACCTGTGTAAGGTGTCCCAACAAACTTGGAATTTAGTGACGATTTTGTAAACTTTTGTAACTTCATTATGAATATTAAATTAAAGGTTTTAGACTGTTAATCCTCAACAAATGTCCAATAATTCCAGTCGCGCTACCATAGGTAGTTTCTGTCTATCCAGTATCTACACTGCTCTTGTTCTTGTAGAGCGTAATCTATAATGCGACCAAGAAATATTGTTTAGGTCTAATGCGTCAAATTTGCATGTACTGCAGTGGGAGGAGATTAAAACAAAGAATTCAGGGGCAGCGAATAATTTGTGCGGGGGTAGATGGGGGATAAGAATATATTGCTATTGTATAGGTATGACAATCATGATTTATTATTATGAAACGCACTGTGTTACTTTAAAAGTATATGTTTTAAAGGCAGAAGTTGAAAATGATATTAACCAAGATTATATATAATATGAGACGATATCACATTCAATTGTTCAAATATAAAAGCAAAGCTATAGCTAGGCAAACTTACAAATAAAAAGAAAGGTGTTTTCTATTTAAATGACAGATAATTTTAAGATTTATATAAGAAGATTAAATCGATAATTCAAATCAAATACTTAGGTTCAAGAACTTCTTTGCAAAAAACATCCTCATTATATGTGCATTCAATTCTTAAAGAGGCATGTCTGATTCACAACAGAACCTCTAAACGCTTTTTTGGGGAACATGCACTTTCATTTATGAAGTATACCGTTCAAAAGTAAATAAAAACCTTTAACGCTAAAAGAAAAGATGTAAATCATTCTAAATATTTATTTATAAACGTTTCATACATTTATTTTCAAAGAAATATCTACGCGCTCTAACAGTTCTAAAACTTAAACTGAGATGTTAGATAAAATGTTCTTACATTTATTTGACCACTTATCAGGGCCTGCTTAGAGGACATTTTTGCGCAGAATTTAGCGCACTCATTGGTTCCTGAAAGAAGGAAGGATTCTAACGGTGTGAGGAAGGAAGGATTCTAACGGTGTGAGGAAGGAAGGATTCTAACGGTGTGAGGAAGGAAGGATTCAAACGGTGTGAGGAAGGAATTTATACAATATTACAATATACAAATATACAAATATACAAATATTACATATGAGCGGAGAGCTTAATTTAGACAATAATAATAATAATAAAAATTATGACAACCAGAATAATACTATAAATCAACCATGTCGCCAATGGAATACGTCCGGTATATAGTTTGCCTAGAAATTCTACGAATCGAATTAAAACTCTTCAAATAACATTTTACAGTGGGCTTCATTTCTCTCTCTCTTTCTTTACACTTATCTCGGTGATGGAACTTAAATTTAATCCGACGGACGAAATGTAGTGACGTATATATGACCCATGTTGAACAAATGTTTCCTGCAGAAACACGTAAAGCCAATTTTTAAACTGACATCTAAAATCCAAATGTCTGATATGTTTGGGTTAGGTGCTGACTCCTAACCATTGAAGAAAGCTCAACTTTTGTCTCGTATTTCTGAACCCATCAGATTCGGTTTTACTTTTATAGGTTTATCATTATAGCATTATAGGTCGGTTAAGAAGGGATATCACGAAATAAAAGCATTTGTAAATGGTCGTCTTCTTTCATTAATCTCATGAAAGTATATAATTATTATATTTAATCTATTATTTTATATGAATTTTTCTTCAACTCTCAAATTATTGAAGAGATATAAACAAATCGTATTTTTACAATCATTCGTTTAAACTCAAACTCTTTTCAATGTTTAGTTTGTCTATTCTGCCTATAAACAGCCTGTACTGATCTACCTGAGCTACCTGTAGAGGAGGAGTGCAGGGAGGGGGTAGGGGGGGGGTGCAGGTGTGTGAGCCAGGTAGATTATACTCCCGGTGGTTTAGTTCAGTGTCAGATATACATTCGTCCCTGCAACTGATACACTCCGCTCCTCCGTCCTCCCCTTAACACCTTTAATCATGTGAATACACAGTGTAGGGTTTATTTGACAAAATGCACCGAGTGCATGGATTAGTGATCAATATTGGGACCACATCCTACCTAACAGGTGAGAAGATCAATCATTTGTTGAACCCATTCTTTCATCATGGGTTCAACCCAACCCAGATTTTCTCAATTTCATCCTTTTACAAAATCATTAAAATTGGGAGCTATGTAAACGAATTAATAAATTGTTTCTCAACCGTTTTAATTTTAAGTTTTTAGTTATAAAGGTGAAATGATTGTTATGGTTTGAAAATCAGGAAGTTTTTCTGAAACCGTTATTTAGCTCCTGACCTGGGTCAAAATACTACCACCCTCCCCCTCTGCCAGACTATACAAAGAAGAAATCATTAAACCAAGAATATTAGATTCAATCAATATTTTCCCTCATACTTTAATATCATTATATTTAGAAAAAACAATTTATCTAATTAACAGGTTGTTCAGTAATTTAAAAAAGAATAATCTTTGATCTACATTTATGTTCAGTATTTAATCTAACATTTTTTTTATTATACCAAGGAAGATACAAAAATACTCTTTTTTAAATTTTACAGGGTTGGATTGTTTTCAAAAGTTTACATCTTGGTAATTTGTTTTTGATCACCAGTTTCATCTATTGTAAACTGGTTTTTTTAATCTAATAATTATATTATTTATGCAGTTTTGGTTAAACGATTTAAACTTACTTAAAGATATCAGATCAGGTTGTGGATTAATGCAAAATTTAGGGAATAATTTTTTAATTTGAAGTTCAACGGGGAACGTAAAAATAATTTTGATCTGTTAAGTTTGATGAAAATATGTTTTAAAATATTAATGGCGATTGTAAATAGATATTGTACAATGTCCATGGGTGTTATTATAGTCTCATTCTAAGAATTTGGATATATCTGTGCTTACCACTAATCGTTGGTTTGATTATATTCCCTGGTTTCCAATACACCCTGGAGTATGTATATTCATAATCTATTAAACTCTGAAGGGTTGGCTGACTAAGGTTGAGGAGAGATTTGTTGGTTTGTGTTGGAAATTTTTTACGGCTTGCATTTGTTTATCCAAGGAAAACCGTCCCCACTTGCACCCTGTAAATGCTTTCATTATGAATTAGTAGAATCCCGCCTGAGTACCGGGGAACCAAGGAGAATTTAATTTTTGTGGTTTCCGTTCTCTCTCTCTCTCTCGTATCTAGGTGTACCTTACGAGCATAATCACAATTTCCCATAAATTAGAATATTTCTAGACAACCAGCTTTTCTATAAATTAGCATTGCAGCTGTCTTTAAACCTTGGAGGATTTAAAGATGGGCTTGAGGAGGTCAACCCTCAAGTTTCCAGTAAAGATGGGCTTGAAGATGTCAACCCTCATGTTTCCAGTAAAGATGGGCTTGAAGAGGTCAACCCTCATGTTTCCAGTAAAGATGGGCTTTAAGATGTCAACCCTCATGTTTCCAGTAAAGATGGGCTTGAAGATGTCAACCCTCATGTTTCCAGTAAAGATGGGCTTGAAGATGTCAACCCTCATATTTCCAGTAAAGATGGACTTGAAGAGGTCAACCCCCCATATTTCCAGTTAAGATGGGCTTTAAGATGTCAACCCTCATATTTCCAGTAAAGATGGGCTTGAAGATGTCAACCCTCATATTTCCAGTAAAGATGGGCTTAAAGAGGTCAACCCTCATGTTTCTAGTAAAGATGGGCTTGAAGATGTCAACCCTCATGTTTCTAGTAAAGATGGGCTCGAAGAGGTCAACCCTCATGTTTCTAGTAAAGATGGGTTTGAAGAGGTCAACCCTCATGTTTCCAGTAAAAGGAAGACTGTAATTATGGCAACTGTTTATTAAATAATATTTAACCCCCTAAGTGATCTTAAACTCCGTTTTTATATGAACTCTTATTGGCAGGGCAGTAACTGAGGGGGGGGGGGGCAACGGAAATGTGCCCTCCAATTTGCAAGATAAAATTTATGGGGAAATAAGTACTTTTTCTTGTGTTTCAATGGGCTTTGCCCCCTCCCCCCCCCAAAAAAAATCCAGTTACGTTCCTGCTTATTGATAAGCAAGTAGTTTAAGCCCCCCTCCCTTCCACCACCGTGTATACGCCCCTGAACAATTGTTCATGTCCTTCAAAGGCTAACCTAAATATTACGAGATTAACCTTGGAAATAAAACAAATTGATCATAATTGAGTTTTTACTTTTTACAAATTTTCAAGTCATTCTATTTGTCAATTTTGATAATCATGACGAATTGGTCTAGTTTCTAAGAAATCCATAATAAGGGTAAATGAAAGAAGAAAAGTTAGGAGGGGGGGGGGGGTTGGGGATGAGGAGTTTTATAGTCTATTTCTGATGTATTCAAAGATGCTTTGACCCATTTTTAGGTCATATGAATTGGCTGAACTATAATTATTATTCTGATAAATGTTTATATTTATTAAATATGTTAGTTTAAGTCAGGATGAATATAAATTCTATGATTATGCATCCTACTGAGCAGTATCCGTATACAAACACGAGTTTGGGTTTGGAGAAAGTGTGAAGCTCCCTCCCTCAACCTTACTCCCTGGTAGGACGGATTTTCCTTGTGTAAATACGAATCTTGCAGTCAATTTCTCACCATGATAAGCTTAAATTTTCATTATGCTGATCCAAGTTTTCTAGATGGGATGGGTATCGGTCAGAGGTTATCAATCATTGTTAAACTACAGTAAAGGTGGCCTTTGGCTGTAGAATAATAACTGGAAATGACCGTTTACAAGACTTATAAAATTCTGAGATTAAATTTTTCAACAAGATACATAATTGTTAAATTGTTGGGTTCCGGAGTAAAAAAAATTATAAACGTTTTAGATTTCAAAACCCCATGCAAACCATCAATCAAGGTTCACTTTCAACTCTCCAGGACATTTTTGGTTTGGGTCTACATCGTTGAAAGCTCTTAGGTTTAGTTATATTCTCTGTTAAGGTTCTTGAATCTCAACAAATTTGGTCAGGTTTTATTGCCTTGAAATGTTTTTAATAAATCTAAGCTCTTCAGTTTTATGATTCCAACGGTTCTAAAGCTTAATGTTATCAAGGGGGGTGTAGAGGAGGGTTTGAATTAATATTAACTTTTATCTCTGTTTCAGGATGCCTTTTCTTTTTAATAAGTGTAGTCGGAGCTCAACTAATTCCGACAGAAAACAATTCCGAGGTTCTACTCAAGAACGGATCTTCATATGTGATATTGAGTGATAACCTGAGATTATCTCAGGGAACCCTGCTAGGGTTCTCCTTTAGAACTTGTCTCTCATCAGGAGAACTATTACGACAAATAGGAGAGACTAATGATCTCTTAATATTAAGTTTAACTGAAACCAGTGGAATCCGTCTCACCATAGAGAGAGGGGATAATAGGAGCAGTATAGAGTCAGGATCAAACCTTGCTGATGGATCCTGGCACACGGTCAGGTTAGGAGTCTCTCAGAACAGGACCACCTTGTGCCTCTCCGTGGACGCTTTAGGTCCGGAGTCAGAGTGTTCCCAACCTAACCCTGGACCTGCTGTAGTGACGGAGCAGAGTGAAAATACAAGTACAAGACTAGAGAATGCAGAATCCATCCTGTCGTCGTTAAACCTTTCAGGTAGCTCGTCAGAGCTCAGGGTCGGATCCGGATTGATTGGTTGTATCAGAGAAGGTCCCGGACTCAGGTTTACTGGAGGACGGGTTTCAGATTCTGTTGGAGCTGAATGGTCTCATTGTACTCTCCCTGATACATGTACAGGTAAACCTGACCTTGTAAAATTAAACGTTTAAATCCTAGAATAATGATTGAATCGTATCAGTATTGTCGTTAAACTATTGGGAGGAAGGGTTGGGCTATATGCATTTAAAAAACCTCTATTTGTAAAGTTTGAATAATCCTGCTAAATAATTGAATTTATAAATGGTGGCAGTCTCATTGTTCATTGTTTAGCGTTGATATTTATACCTACATGCATCCATTGTATTTTCTACACTTTATATTGTGCACTTACATTGACGGGAGCTTTCATGTCAATCTTGAGAACCCACCTTCTAAACAATCCTCCCCTCCCTCCCAGCCCTCCCCCCCTCATCCCTCCTTCCCCTTCCCTCCTCTCTCAGGCCTCCTGTCGGGTCTATAAGATCCTTGTAAAGATTAAAAAATTATTTGAGGTAAAAAAATTTCTCAGTGCACAATGCAGGCTGTACGACGCACGCTATACAACTGTTGAACTATGAGCACAGTTCAGCTGTTGTACTTTATGCAACGGTTACACAATGTGCACAGTGGATCTTTTGTACTTTATGTAATAGTTGTAGAGTTAACTTGTGTACTATAAGCACAGTGTAGCTGTTGTACTTAGAGCAATGTTTGACTGCTGTACCATTAGCACAGTGTAAATGTTTTACTCTAAGTAATGTGTAACTGTTCTTATTGGTGCACCCTGAGTAAGTAACTCTTGTACCGTGGTCTGCTGAAACTTGCTTTCTTTCTTAACCTACGAGAGCAGTTTAACCTACGTACCAAGAGCACAGTGTAACTGTGTACCCTAAGTAAAGTTTGACTGTTGTACCCTGAGTTGTATGTAATTGGTGTACCATGAACACAGTGTAACTACTGCTGTAAGCTTGCACATCTAAACCGATATTCCCGGAGTGCTTTTCTAATGTTGTATCTTGATCAATGTGTAACTGTTGTACCAGGACAACCTGTTATCTGTTGTACCTTGATCAATGTGTAATTGTTGAACCAGGTCAACCTGTTATCTGTTGTACCTTGATCAATGTGTAATTGTTGAACCAGGTCAACCTGTTATCTGTTGTACCTTGATCAATGTGTAACTGTTCTACAATGAGCTCAGAGTAACTGTTCTACAATGAGCTCAGAGTAACTGTTGTACCATGATAAGTCTAACTGTTGTACCTAAGAAGTGTGTCAACGTTGTAACATGAGTTTTGTGTGTTTGGTGTACCCTAAGTACAATATTACGCTGCACCTCGTTGGTGAGAAATGCGTAACCTTTGTACTATGACAGCAGTGTTGTACCGTGAGTACAGTAGAACTCTTTTGTAAATTTGTTAGCAATCAATTTTTGTAACTTTTCATAGATATTGCGTCCTCGCTTACTGTGCACATTACGCATAATTGTGTAGGATCATAAAACGCTTCATGCGTAATAGCATTATAGTAAATATCTGCAGGGTTGGATAGGGTTGAATGAGAATTGTTAGTTATTGTTGACCACGAGTTTTTCACAACTTAATTCTGTGGTTCTATTTTGTCATAATAATTAAATGAATAAAACTCTTTTCTTGCGTTACAGGTTTAAAGCATTTTCAAGAATTTAAACTTAATATAAAAAAAACGAACTGTCATTCCCTATTATTTAAACCTGGTAAATGATGCAATTAACAGAATCCTGCAAATTGTCTCACGTTTTTGTCCCAATTTTATATCAACTTACATCTAGCAATTTTACATTAAGCAGTTGTTCATTTGAATGTTGTGGAAGGAGGGGGGGTCTCTTGTTCCAAATGATTCTCAAAATTGTTCCAATTAAATGAAATAATAGTACATTAGTTGAAACATTTATTTGGGCCATCTAAGTAATAGGCCCTTGTCTTGCAGAACTTAAATCTATTTCATATGTCCTTTCATTTCTGCAATATTTATGACGATTTTAGATATTTTTTTACGGAACATTTCTCTTTGTATAGTGATGAATTTTCCCCTTTCATCGAATTATATTTAGTGTATCCTGATTAGTATCCTGTGTAGTATAATATGAAGTAAACTTGTGTTGTTAGATCAGGGTTTGTTTGTGGATTCTATTTACCATCTTGTTAAACCAATATTGGGGAACAGGTTAATAAAGAGGGGAGGAGGAGGGTTGGGGTACGAGCTGGTAACTGGAGGAAAGAAGGGGATGAAGACGGGATTGAAGGAAGGGTTGAAGATGCGGGGGGAAGGAGGATAAAAAATACTTGAGAGGAAGAGAGTGTAGAGGGAGGGAAGGCCTGAAAATGGAGGAAATGGCTGGGGAGGGAGAGAAGGGCTGGGGAGAGAAGTGCTGGAAAGAGAGGGAAGGACTGGAAATGGAGGAAATAGCTGGAAAGGGAGAGAAGGGCTGGAAAGGGAGAGAAGTGCCAAGGGAGGGAAGGGCTGGAAAGGGAGGGAAGGAGTACTGGGGAGGGATGGATACCGCTGAAAAGGAAGAGAAGTGTGGGAAAAGAGGGGATAGGGGATTAGAGTAGAGAGGGAGTAGAGGAGATTGGGGGAGCTAGTGGAGTGACGGTGAAGTTAGCAGGTGTAGAAGGAAGAGAATGGAAAATTAGGATTGAAGGATTAAACAATGAACATGTAGGATTATAAAGGATAATGTAGGATCATATAGAATAGAAGGATTGAAAAAGACGGAAAATGACGGATAATAAAGGAGTCTGAAAGGATACTAAAGGATAATGTAGGATAGAAAGATTGAAAATGACGGATAATGAAGGATACTGAAGGATTCTGAAAGGATACTACAGGATAATAAAGATAAAAGAATTGAAAATGACGGAAAATGAAGGATACTGAAGGATTCTGAAAGGATACTAAAGGATAATGAAGATAGAAGAATTGAAAATGAAGAATACTGAATAATAATGAGTAATACTATAGATAATTAAAGATATTTTTATTCACTTGAGAAGCATGGAGTGAAGGTTAGACCTGGAGAATTGCATTGAATAAGTTTAATAAGCTCCTCCTATGAATGGGGGGGGGGTAAACGATTAACTTAAAAAAAAAATATAAAATAAGAATATATTCTGTTTAACTTTCAACATGAATTGAAATATAATCTTTAGATTCCTTTCAACCTATAATGTTTAATTACTCGGTCTATATTAGGTATTTCTAGAGTTTGATTACTCAGGGTAGGGTGGTAGGTAGGCGAGGGGAGCTCAGGTTTCTAGGAACTCAGGTTCAGGGTTTCATAACAGATGAAACTGTGGGAACAGGTTACTCTGATCCCAACCCTTTAGTCTGGGTCACTTAACCTCTATTATTCTTTTATTTGTGACGCACGAGAGAGAGGGGGTCAATACAATTCAATACCTATTTATAAATAACATAAATACTTTATACTTAATTGGAATAATCTATTTACAAATAGCACAAAAATATCAATATGATATAACAACATGTTCTTTTTTTACATAACCTAACCACTGCATTGCAGGTTAAATAAGTATAAGTACAACACAAGTTTAGGCGATAAATACATTTCTTAACTACACCTAGTCACCGCACATTATATGTTGCATTATTGCTAACTTTATTCTTAAAGAGTTTTAATAGTTTTCATTCCAGAAGCTGGGGGGGGGGACGTGTCCACAACCTCCCGCTCAAACTATTCTTAACAATAAAACATCCATATTTGGGTTCAGATCTATGGGACTCTCAAGGATATATGGTTTAGTATCTAACCCCTGTAACTTATGAGTTTAGAAACTGTTAAGCAGTATTTACGCATTTGTAACTTGTTTATCTTAATGAAACAATTATTTAAGATTTTAATGCTGGAACAAACTGGATATAGAGAGCTTCTAAAATAAAAGGATTGAAGGATTAAAGCAGATTTTTCACTGCCTAAGGTGCAATGCAATAACAGTGTTAAAAAAGTATCCTTAAGCCGGATGGGGGGGGGGGGGGTTGCCGGTACAGATTCAAATTTTGATTTTACATAAATAGATATCTATCCTTTAAAAATTGGCATCATCTGAATGAAAATATTGTTGTTTGAGTTCTCCGTCCAAGATATCAGGGTAGATAACTAACCAGGCCGCCTTCATCAGAGTTTAGATTCAATCTGAATCCTTACTGTTTATGTTTTGTCTATAGGTGTTTAATTGGGTTGGGGGAACAAAGCTACAAAATGCATCAATTCCATTCCCCCCCTCCTCCTCCCTTCTCCTCCGCTCCTTCCCCCTTTTATTGGGGTCAATAAATGTTTATTTGAGTAACGGCTAATATTGATTAATATTGTAAACAAAATATTTGATGAATAAAAAAAATAATTTTTAGTAATGTTGAAATATAAACATATATGTACTAAAGTCTATTTCTAAATATTTGCAAATTAAAACCCAATTTCGTAGACTATTTCTAACTATGAATTCCGTTGGATCAAATCATCTAATTTTGGGATATAAAAGGTTTACACCACCAGGTTGCAAAGATATAGGGATTAGAAAATTTTAGTAATGAAATTATAATGTTTGGCAACTGTTTTTTTTATTGAACACAATATTTCCTAGGATATGATTGGAGTTTACTAACAGATATTCCTCCTGGAAGTAACCCCTGCGCTACCTCTCTCTGTGAAAACGGAGGTCTATGTCTGCCACTGTTAAACCCTACTCCGGAGCAAACCACGACCTGCTCCTGTGTTGCTGGGTTTACAGGTCCAACCTGCTCCGCCCCGGCCCGCTCATGCTCAGAAAATCCTTGTTCTCATGCTGGAGCTTGCTTAGAGGATTCAGTCTCAGGTAGAGAACTTATACTGGATATTCATTTTCACCCTTTTATCCTTTTTTGCCATCCATTGGTATCATTCATTATCATTCTAGGCCTTCCATTCATTGGTCTGTGTCATTCATTTCTTATTTTTATGGCATCTATTTATCCTTTTATGCCATCATTTTATCTCTTTTGCAATTGTCATCCATTTATAATGTCATCCTTTTATCTTTTTATCCCATCCATTTAACATTTTATGGTATCAATTTATCTGTTTATGCCATTTATTTATCCTTTTATACTATTCATTTATCCTTTAATGCTTTTCATTTATCCTTTTATTCTACCCAATTATCCTTTTATGCCACCCAATTATCCTTCTATGCCATCCATTTATCTATTTACACTTTTATGCCATTCATTTATCTGTTTATGCTATTCATTTATCCTTTTTTCATCCATTTATCCATTTATGCCATCAATTTATCCTTTAAATTGATGGTTTTTAAATATTTCATTTAATCTTTTCTTTGCATTTTATCTATTCACCTTAATATTATATTACTTACTTGTATATATACCTTATTCTCTCTTGCTTTTTATCTTTAAACTTCAATTTTTTTCTAATCTAAGTTACTTCATCGAAAATACCCCCCCCCCCCCCTCCTTTAAATTTATGTCCGGTGTAAAATGATGTTTATTTGTATGGTTTCTACCCTCAGAGAACTAGACAGACCATGAAGTTTAAGGACAGGATAAAATTAACATTTTAAATAATTCTTCCTAACTACGGTTCTTTGAATTTTAACGCGTTCCTTAGATTTCTTGTTAAGTTTTTATAACTTTATTTTCTTTGAAACTTGTGAAAAATATGGTAGAATAAAGGTATACTTGGTAAATATCCTTGACAGGGGTTTTTCTTTAGAATCTACAAAAATACTTTGAATAATGATTTTTATTTGTTCAGGAGGATTTACATGTAACTGCACTGGAACTGGATACTCTGGAACCTACTGTGAGACGGAGCTGAACCATTGCTCCGGGACGGTTTGTGAGAACGGAGGAGAATGTTTAGATCAACCTGGTGGTTTCCTCTGCCAGTGCTCATTGGAGTTCATGGGAACCACCTGTTCAACCAGGATACTCAACCCAGAGATATCTGGCAGGAATATTGTGGTGAGTTCTATTACATTCAGAACATCTGTATTTTTCATCCTCATCTTGCAGTTTCTTTATCCAAGGTTTACAAGAAGATCACGTTAAAACTGTAATGCCATTTAATTTGCGGATTTTTCTCAACACCCCCCCCCCCCCNTTATCTCTTGTTTTCAACCTGTTCAAACTTATCTTTGTGCTCCATAGTTCTTAGATAAATTATGTTGCATTATTATCTTTATTTTTAACCCCCCCCCCCTCGTTTCCCTTATCTTCATTTGTCATTTTGATCTTCTCGTTCATGTGTTCTCCATCTTACTTTCCATCTTCCATTATCTTCTCTTCCTTCTCCATTATGACTTACTTCTGATTCTCCTCTATATAACCTATGAATAACGCCGTATTTAACCTATTTAATAATCTGTATGCTCCGCTCCGAGCCTATTCATCATCTTTATCATCGCAGCTCCTCCCCTCCCTATAACGATTAAGGAGGACAATGACACGCCCATGAAATATGATTCCAGATGAACCCGACCCCCACCCCCCATATCCAGGTTCACATCAAGGTAGCCATTAAAGTATAATTTTTCCTTTACCCTTACATAAGGTCTCCTGATGTAATCATAAATCATAATCGTTCTCTAGTACTCTTCCACTCACATTTCACTCTTCATGCACATTTACTCATTCTCTTATTATACACTTTCATTCATACTGTTCATTCATTTCTTCTCTCATACTACACATTCACTCATCCAACACATTCACTTATCCTACTCATTCACTCATCCTACACATTCACTTATCCTACTCATTTACTTATCCTACTCATTCACTTATCCTACTCATTCTCTTATTTAAAACATTCAATAATCCACTTCTTCAATCATTCTCTCATCCTACACATTCTCTCATCTTACAGTATCACTCATTTTCCCATCCTTTACACATTCACTCATTCTCTTATCCGACAAATTCACTCATCCTACACATTCACTCATCTTACAGTATCACTAATTTTCCCATCCTTTACACATTCACTCATTCTCTTATCCCACAAATTCACTCATCCTACACATTCACTCATTCTCTTATCCCACAAATTCACTCATCATGCTCATTTCTCATTCACTCTAAAGAAAGTTCTATATCCCACAAATTCACTCATCATGCTCATTTCTCATTCACTCTAAAGAAAGTTCTATATTAAAATTATGGTAAAAATTAAAAAATGCATTAGAAAATTTATGAGTTTAGAATGAAATCTGTTTTTTTGAAAAATTATATCAAAACATATAAAAATCTGAAGAAAATACTATGGTTAGAAAAAAGAAAAGTCAGTTAAGCATTCATGCTCTAGTGGAACTTGTTAACTTCTAGAAAATAAATTAATCTCACGCCTTTTCCTTTAAACCATGCAACCACTACAACCAGGTTTTTTTTTCTATAGTTCCCTTTTTCCCGTTCTTTTTGTTGTTGTTAACTACTAAACCAAGCCGAAAGAAAAATAAGTTTATTCGATTGTCTTCTAAAACCTCATTAAAATCCCCCAAGAAATTGTTCTTAAAATTATATAATTTTGATTAAACTTAAACACACATAGTTCTTATTCATAACAGTTTTGGTAATTTACTTCATTAAAATATTTGTCGGAATTTAATTGTATTTACGCTTTGATTCAAACCACTCTGTATTTGTTATGCTAATGTTTACAAATATAAACTAAATATAAGTTTGAGACTAATCCAGTATTCGTTAGAACGTACTTCAACATTTCCCCGCCCACTACTTAGTCATTTCTTCTCTTAATATACTCCGCCCTTTCTAACAATGTAAACCAATTTACTTGTATTTCTGCAAAACTAAAATCCTGTAGATTTGATATATTTTTTTAAATAAAAGATGTAGAAAATTTTGTTAAATCAGTTTTGAAAACCTTTTGTTTTGACCTCAGACATCTATCCTTGACTGCAGACCTCTAGACTTGACCACAAGGCCTCTAACCTTGATCGCAGACCTCACGGCTTAACTGCAAGACCTCTAACCTTGACTGCAGGCCTTTAAACTAAACCTAACAACTTAAACATTGATCAAATGGGCCTGAATTTTGGACGGAGCGTTTCTGTCTCCGTCAAACCTAATTTTGAGCGGAATGGTTTTTGTTCTTGCCATACTCATTACTCAACCTTTGGGAAGTTATCCTATTCTCCGCAATATCCAAGGAAGTGTCTTTATCTCCGCTATGCCCAAACTGTCTCCGCCTGCAATAACTTACTTTTAAAGAAGCTGTGAAGTCATTTAACAACTTGAAGTTGTGATTGTGTCTGCCAAACCTACCTTTGGCGGAGCTCTTTCTATCTCCACCAAACTTGAATTGTGTGATGTTGTTACAGGCACTTAATCTTTGACGTATTACTGTCTATGTCATCTCTAACCTTTTTACTAAGTATAGTCAACTGTCTCCGCACTAGCTAATCCTCGTGGGTAGAGATGTCCCTGTTTTTTCGAATATGGTGGAATAGTCCCATCTCCAGCATGGCTAACCTTGGGCGGAGAATAGTTATATTTTATGATGTATCAGGTTGGTTGCCGTTTAGTCACGAATTTATATTTTACAGTTTTGTATTTTGCAATCTAACATTATGATGCATTTAGTCTAGTCTTGGTCTTGCATATATTTTTCTTAGATTTGGGTTTGGGTTCCTTCTATCTAGCTTCACTATCTAAACTCTTTAGATATGACTGTTGTTTATTGGAGTAGGGTATAATATTTAAGCAGTATAAATCATTGATTTACACAGCTTTGATTACTCAGCTTCAACTATTGACACCGGGCCGACTTTAGAGTGAAATTTTCAATTTTGTTAGTCCTGGATATGATTATTTAAAAAATATATTTTTTCTTCAGTATTTCAAGACTCTGGATAGATTTTCGCGTAAGAATGTGTTTTTTTTTCATTGCGACGAGATATATGAAGAATCTACTTGTAAAATGTTCTTTAAATACTTTGTCTCTTCCTACTTCATAAGATGATATTTGTCTTCCCGCTCTGGTTCAGATAAATAAAAGACAATTAAGATTATGAGATAATAGAGAAATTTTAAACGCAACTCACTGTTCTAATAAACTATATGGTATTGTTGTGCAAGGACAAAAATAGTCTGTGTCTGTATCGTACATTCTTGAAGTCCAAATAATTATGGGAATCAATTTGGTGGCAATATAAGATTACACGTATATTATCCAATAAATCAGTTAAATTCTTAGAACTTTTGGATATTTTAAATCTTATATATAATATATATATTCACTAATTTAAATTGAAAACCATGTGGCATGGTTTCATTGTTAAAAAATAAACTGACTCAATCAATATTCCGACATTTATCAACATTTTCCCATGTATTTCACATTCAAATCATATTCAATATTTTTTCCTTTATTCATGATTTTCCTGTTAAGGATCCGTGTCTGAGTGTTCCTACTCCATGTAGTAACGGAGGTACGTGTCAGGTCTCTCCGGACAACCAAACCATCTCCTGTCTTTGCTCTGATGGATACTCTGGTCCGACCTGCTTGATTCAGACGGATCCATGTCAACATTTTATCTGTCCCGAGAACTCCGAGTGTAGAGTGGACCCAGATCCATTATGCTTCTGTATACCAGGATATAATTATACAGGTAGTTTTTCAACATATTTCCATATTCATCTTCACATCCTTTTATTTATTTCATCCAATTCATACCTTTCCAGGCTTTCAGGGCGCTTCTCGCCCATCTTCTATTTCAACTTTCAACTGTGGCTCTATCTCTGAGCATTCTCTCATTGTACTATAATATGAAACAATAACAAAAAAGTGGATTTAATAATATTTTTACGAGGATTTCAAAAATTTTACGAAAATGAAAAGTTTTTGGAGATAAACTTTTGCAATTATAAGCATCAGTACCTGGGTTAATATTAGTTGCCTCACAAATTTTTGGCTCGATCGGTTCAGTCGTTTTGACGTTTCTTGGATACAAACAGACAAGACAGATAGACAGACAAACAAAGCATGCATACAGATTCTAATCTTTTTATTCTTATTTTTATCTTGAGTTTTAACTTTCAATCCTTGAAATTTTTAAATATTTTTCTCATCCTTATCTTCGCCTAATCCTTACTTTTAATTTTGTAATTTATGAAATCCTATTTTTCCCATGGTTCTAAAATTCGAATTCGTCTAATCATCTGACCCTTTTATAATCTTACCTATCTTTGCAAGCTTATTTATTTATTTGTTCTTGAAAAGGATTTGAGTTTTTGTCACAAAATCTGTTTTTCTGTTCCCCATATCTTCGCAACAAAATATCGTAGACCTTAAAGAGAGTGTTCGCGAAAAATGAAAGTGGGTATAGGCTAATGGCGAAAAATAAGCGCTCACTACTAATCTGATTGATCACTAATTTTAATAATTGATCACTACTAATCTTACTTTTATCTGTTGCGTCTATTAGGAGAACATTGTTTAAAATGATTCATGTTGAAGAGAGTAGCTTCCTTACAAATTCAGAAAGTTGCAACATTCAACTCAGATCGTAAAATAATCAATTTAATTCAAAACAAATCAGATATTACAACCAATAGTCATCGATTATTTTCGACGCATTCGTACATAGTTAATATTTCATAATATTTTTGATTTTATTAATTTTCTCTAATATTTCGCTGGCGCTGGATTTTCGAACATTTCTGGAAAATATGAAAATGTCGTCTTCATTGTCAAAAATCCTCGAAACTGGAATAAATGTTTTCAAAAGTAACTATCAGATCATGAAAAACACTCTCTTTAAATATTTCGAACTAGAAATCCCGTTAGATCAAATAATCTAAGTTTGAAATATTAAAGGTTTACAACATCAGGTTGTTTAAATATATGAATGAGAAATTTAGATTTTGTGGCAAAGACTCAATTTTTTGGGGGGTTTATGCTAGGTTCGCTGATTAGATAATAGAGAAGTTTCCAAAAAGCGCATACGGTTTGAAAAAGAAATATGACAAAGAATAAGTTATTGCTTGTTTTTAAATGTAAAAAAACATATCTATTTCTGTTTATTTATTTATTTGCAAATAAACAAACAAAGGGTTTGCACAGAACAGTTGGCAACTGTCTGCAAGTTTTTAGAACTTATAGAATTTATGTTTCTTTGAAATCTGGGTAAAAAATTTAATTTAACCCCATCGCCCGCCGTTCTTGATTTGTGTTTGAGTGTTGTACTCATATCCGGAGTTAGATAATCTCAAAGAAATCCATACAATACATATAAAGCATTATCCTTAAATTATACACTGTAAACTGTCTGATATTTATCAAAGTTTTATGTTTAAAATTAAATTCTTACATCTCTTTATGTGGGAATATATTACTTTTTTCTCCATCCGTTATTGGGATTATTAGTCTTACATTTTTATTAGATTACCCAATTTTCAGTTCCTTCTTACATCACCTAAATCTTCATTTCCTTTCAAATATTCTAAATTTTTCTTGGGTGACCTAAATCATACATTCCCTCTTACTTAAATCTTACATTTTCTTATAAGATTACATTCACACTTACTCAATAGACTACTAAAACATAATGGGTTCTGCTTAGTACTACTCAAATCTTACATTTAATTTATTAAATCTTCATAGATAACTTAAATGATACATTTTACAATTAGATTACTAAAATATTACATTTTACTGCTTAAATCTCCACATCTTACATCTTCTTCTGAATTGTATAGCGTTGCTTCTTTAGTATCTAATTTATTTATAAAATGGTTAAAATTTTACATTTTTTAAAAAATCCAAGAAATAAACACAAATTTTAAAAATTTTAACAGATTACCCAATTTGATGCATTTCATTGTTTGGTCGCGCAAATCCTGAATTAACAATATCTTTTTAATTATTGATTAGGAAATTTTTAGATTTAGATAATTATATTTTTAATGCATTTTCTATGAAAACCAACCAAATAATTCGCAAAAAAATATAAACCGTTTGAAAAGTTTATTTTTATATATATTTACATTATTTAGTTCTTGGCTATATCTTGAATATCTGCCACTTTGCAGCATTTAAATTTAGTTTTAATCTTTCATCTTACGTTGGATCGAAACAACATGACGTAGGATGGTCAGGATGGAGCCTTTGTCCTGAGACTACTTATCCCAAACCTAAGCTTAGGATTACACCCGGAGACGTTGATTAAACCGGAACTATTCGCCTGGGTTAAACTATCTATTATTGTTATCCATACAGGCTTCGATCAACATCAATCTATCCATTGTTTGCATATATTTATATTGTGTGCGTACATGTACAATTCTATTCATTATTACGCATGATGAAACTGTATTTAATAAGATCTTCGCTTGGCACATCCTTGGTTCTTGCATCCCTTAAATTCTCTGCAACCCCTTGGCAGTTTATAAACTAAGGTCAGACATCATTTTCAGATCTAGATTTCATCTCATTGAATAGAAGCATACTGAGTTTCTATCCTGCGGAGCAAACCAAATCAGTTTAGGAGGGTTGAAGGATAGATCTCCTTGCTCTGCAATATCTGGATACTTTCAGATTAGAAGATATTTTCTCAAGTGCAATCATTAACATTTAATGATGGTCATCAAAACATAATCTTCACAAAGATTAACCGAGATTATATGAATTTCTCTTAATTCTAACTAAACCAAGGTTCATATCTTCAAAATATTTAGTTTTGAAAGTTAGAACCTTTCAAGTTTGGTTTGTATTATCTGTATCACGTTTTGTCCGTTGAATTCCAAGATTATGTTAACACGAGTGGCTATTATGATAATTAGATGTGCATACTAGATCCTTAGGCGAGGAGGAGGGGGGNATGAAATCTGAAAATTAGAGAATATTTCAAAGAGGTGTAAACGGGATGGGGGTGGGGGGGAGCTGCTTGAAATTTTATAAAATGAGATGAGAAGAATGTAATTGATTGTCCATCATCCATCAGTAGAATCACGTGATATGTCTAAATTTATCTATTAAACTCATTAGGACTATTTTTCTTGATTACTTGTAATTCCCGCTCTTCTTGTTTTCATCTCCAGGGTTCTCAGTCTTTGTTTACTCCGGATAATTCCAACTTCAACTCTGGTTTATTCCATGCAAGAATTCCAGTTCATTTTCTCCGTACTTAGCATAAGGTTCTGCGTACTTGGTTAATATCCTGTTTTATTTTCAGTCATTTTTACATCAAATTTTATTAGATTCTTCTATTTTCTCTGATTTTGTAGCCTTGAATCCTAGTTCCTTTAAACCGCCTGTTTTCTTTGGTCTGATTTATACTTTATAGTTTTTCAAAAATCTTATTTCTTTGGTCATGTATTCTTATATCATAGTTTTTTATACTTCTTATTTTCTTTGGGTTATATCATTGTATCCTAGTTTTTTATACTTCTTATTTTATTTGGTTTTGTATCCTTCTATCCTAGTTTTTTATACTTCTTATTTTATTTGGTTTTGTATCCTTGTATTCTGGTTTTTTATACTTTTCATTTTATTTGGTTTTTTATCCTTATATCCTAGTTTTTTTTTAACTTCTCATTTTATTTGGTTTTGTATCCTTGTATCCTAGTTTTTTATACTTCTTATTTACTTTGATCTTGTATCCTTGTATCATAGTTTTTTATACTTTTTATTTTCTTTAGTCTTAAACCCTTGCATCGTTGTTTAGTATGTCCTTTCTTAGATCCTTGTTTATTTATACTGTGTCATTGTTTCTCAGCTTATCTCCTTATGTATTCTTTGTACAGTCTTATCCTAGTTCATCATCTATCCTAGGTCGTATGTTCCGTCTTCTACTCCTAGTCTATGTATAGTATGTCTCTGTTGTCTTAGCCCGGATCCTGATCTCTCCTTAGAATGATTTTTTGGGAATCTTTGAAAGGTTAAAGGTTGAGGAATAGGATTAGTTCCGTTTTCCCTAAACCCGGCCGAACGTAGAGAACATGAAGCCCTAAGATAACTATAACGTTACAGCAAAATTTAGCAGAAGCCATATATCCCAGTAATCAATATTCTATTAGTAGCAAACTACATTTTATTACCGTTATCCCCCCTCTGACTTTCAACCTTCTTCTAAGTTTCGTTTCTATAATTTCAGATTCTGAAGAGGGAGCCTGTGTTAAGAACGATAATTGTGCCGAGAACCCTTGTGGAGAAGGTGGAACGTGCTCAGATACTGGTTTAGGATTCTCCTGCTCCTGTTCTCCGGGTAGACAAGGAGCTACATGTGAAGACGAGGTTGATTTATGTTCCAGTGCACCCTGTCAGAGCGGAGGAACCTGCACTGCAACCAATGGAATAGTAACCTGCTCCTGCCAGGACGGATTCACAGGAACTCTGTGTGAGCTGGACGTGGATGAGTGCCTGAGTTCTCCTTGTCAACATGGAGTATGTTCTAACCAGGTAACTATCCTAGTATCCTTATTCTGATCCTGATTTGAAAATTTGTTGAATTCTTTTTAAATATTATCCGGGCTTAACCGAGTTTAAGCTCTGATAACAAACCGTGTTTAACTGCTATGCTTGATCTGCACTATCTGGGCGTTTTCCTTGTCAATATTTTGCAGGCTGATTCTCAAATTTCAGAGAAGATATCAAACCCATAATCATTTTTTGTTAATTCTTTTTTTCTCTTCGTTTTCATTTTCAATCGTTCTTAGTCTATTAACCCTTCAATTCACTCTCTTTATCAAGATTATTAGAAAAATATATTTCATTTGACTGCTGACATGCTCATTTCAATCAATTTATTAAAACCTTCCATTAAATCCTGTTAATTATCTGTCAATTTATCAGTTTTATGTATCATTACTCTTAGTAGTTGCATTAACTGATCCTGTATTTGTAGGCTGGTGGATATCAGTGTGGGTGTGAGCAGGGTTGGAGCGGACAAAACTGTGATATAAACATTGATGAGTGTTTGAGCAATCCTTGCATCAACGCAACCTGCGAGGACAATGTAGGATTGTTATTCATAAATCCATTTCAAATTGGACGCTAATTTTTTCTCACAATATCAGTCTTAAACATTATTAGTAATTTTGTAATTTGGCTTTTTACTCAGGTCAAGACATTTTTATCTAATATACACTTAAACTCACTCAGTCTACAATCACCGGTTATCTACGTGGGTTGCAAAGTTTCATAATGAAATGCCAAAACCTGGACTCTGAGCTTCCATGTTCCAAGCAATCTTTTGAACACTATCCCCCCCCCTCATTCCCATTCGTAATCCAAATTATTTGGAAACTTTTGCTCAGCTCTGTCTCCTGCATAACTAAATCCTTTTCCTAAACATCATCCTTGTTCAATAAAAACCTGGACCCCGTTTTTTCTACACCTTTTCTCTATAAACTTTAATCATAAGCCTGTTGTATTCCTCCTACCCTCAACTTCTAGTACTCCTAGTAGGCTATAGTATACTATAATATATCTCTTCTTTAAGCCTGAACCCTACTCCAAGTAGGCTAGTATACTCTAATCCATCTTTACTTTAAACCTGAACCATACTCCTAGTATGCTAGTATACTCTAATACATCTTTACTTTAACCCTGAACCCTACTTCTAGTTGGCTAGTATACTCTAATACATCTTTACTTTAAACCTGAACCATACTCCTTGTAGGCTAGTATACTCTAATATATCTCTTTAAACCTGAACCCTATTGCTAGTAGGCTAGTATACTCCTATCCACGTCTACTTTAAACCTGAACCCTACTTCTGGTATACTCTAATCATAGTTCTGTATAGACCTCATCACTTCTCATGGTATACTCTGAACCCGGTCCTCTCTAAACCTTAACCTTAGTCGTGGTATACTCTAAACCTTGTCCTCTGTAAACCTGAACCTTACTCCTGGTATATTATAACGTTGTCCTCTGTAATTACATTAATCCTTCACTTGGTATACTCTAAAACTTTATCTCTGTAAACCTGAACCCTACTCATGGTTTACTCTAATCCAATTTATGATTAAACCTGAGTCTGATCAATGTTTTTTTGTACTAACTTTGCGCTTGCGTGCATTTCTATTTTTCTAAGCATTTTATTTGTTTTATAATGTTGTTAATCTGCAAAGTTTAAACATGCAATTGATCTGAGCTAAAATAACTTTTATTAAGTTTTTTCGTTTCTATAGTTTAATGTCAAAAAGAGACCGAACACAAAAAGATGATTGTATTGTTAAGGTGAACGACTACAGATGCTTATGTGCTGCTGGATTTACTGGGAAGAACTGTGAGGTGGATATTAATGAATGTGAGACCAATCCTTGCCTAAATAATGGAACCTGTACGGACGGATTCAACAACTACACCTGCTCCTGCACTTCTAGGTTAGAGGATTTTCTTACCTCTTCATTATTTAATTCACAGAACTAAACTGAATTTCCAATTGAAGTTCTGGTAAAAATACTATGAGAGGGAGTGGCGGAATATTTATTTTATTCTCTGTTTAGGTATATGGGAAGTAGGTGTGAAGCGGCTTTTGATGCTTGTGCTGCATCTCCGTGTTCTAATGGAGGGACATGTATCAAGAAGAGTGAAGAACGAGGAGCTCCGGTGGAGTTTGAATGTCAATGTATACTTGGATATGACGGGTTGACATGTGAACATAATATCGACGACTGCTTGAACGTGGAGTGTGGGGGTGAACAGACCTGTGTTGATCTTGTTAATGGTTACGAGTGCAGATGCCCCGTAGGGTTCACAGGGGATTTGTGTCAGGAGGATATAGACGAATGTGCTCCTGAACCCTGCCTGAACGGAGCAACCTGTGCCAATCTTGTTGGAAACTTCTCCTGCTCCTGTGCCCTGGGGTTCACTGGGTTAAACTGCTCCGAGGACGTGGATGAATGCCTGAAAACTCCGAGTATATGCAACAACGGTATCTGTCAAAACCTCCCCGGAGGTTACCAGTGCTATTGTAGACCTGGATACTCTGGAACCCACTGCACATACGATTTCGACGAGTGTTTATCTACTCCTTGCTTGAACGGGGGATCCTGTGATAATCTAGTAAATGCGTACAGCTGTTCTTGCCAACCTGGATTCAATGGTAAGTGAAGTTCAACCTTATTATTTAATATTATAGATGAGATTATCTGTGCAGAGTTCATGTCAGTTAGCCATAAACTAATCCAAGGATATATATAACGGGGGTTCCGTGCCGTCGGAAATTGGTCACAAATTTTAACGTGTAATTTAAACCGATCCAAACCAGTTCTATCCTCGCACCTCAGGGTTTCGTAACCCAGAACTTGAAAGCAAGGGTTAATTCTCCTAGAAATATTTATTACATAATTATTATTAAAACAAAGCTCAGCAAATATTTAAGCAGAGAGAGGGCTTATGTCTTTAGTATTCATATCAGTTGTTCAGTAAATACTGAGAGAAACTAGAGTATTGTGACTAGGGCCCGGAGAAATGTTTAGGAAATCCGTCCCACAGATTGTTCTGACGGATCCGGGGGGAAATTGCCGGATCATACTTTGTCATCAGGATCCAATCAAATCCATCTTTCTGACAAAAATTTATTCTTTATCTCAACCCATGGTTTAAGTGGGATGAGAACCTCTGCAAACCTTGTTAAATCCTAAACGATATTTTTCGGTTTAATTTATATCGAAACGTGTTAAAACAAAATCACCGATTTAAAACCAAAGTTTACCTTTATCCATGAATACCCTTAAAATACGCCCAAACCACACTTTCCCAGCCAGGCATCATTAAAGGTCGATTAAATATTCAACTTTTATTCTTAGTTTAAATCCTCTAACCCTCACCTTACCCCCCCCCCCTTCCCCCCAGCCACTAGGTCGTGGGGGATAAATACGTCATGTAATCACGATTGTGGTGAATATGTTGGACCTTGCGCTATATTCATCTTGTGTCCCATGACACAATCTTTTTCTTTCTCAATCTTCTTTTGTTTAGCTCTCTGAACCTTTATACAGACTGGAGATATTGTCTTCAAGATACTTTCCTTGCATCTCAACAGTATAGTTTTACTTGTCATTTCTAGTTTTAATTAGATTATGAAGGACTAATCCTCTCCCTTTGTTTTAATACGGCCGCTTTGGTTTAATAAAGATATTTACTGGTTAAGATTTTGATTTGATGTTATGAAAGGAATATGATAATCCTGGTTTTCAAGATCCCTACAATCCTGATCTGATAGATCCAAGGAAGGATAGTTTAAATAACTCCGAAAGGCAGAGTTCTGAACCCCGAGTATATAATTACTCAGGCCTGAGGCCTTTTTAGGCCCTGCACTGGAGTTCTAGATCACTTCGGGCTATAGATCTTTTCATATAATTTACTTTTTCATAACTTATTATCAATGCGTAATGTGCATTCGTAAGACTTGCATTTTCATTTAGTTGCCCCCCCCCCCCCAACTATTTTCTAATTACTACAACGTTTCTGGCTCAAGAATTCTGACACTGAGAGATGGGAAGAGAAAATTTTCAATTGTATCCTTGAGGTGAACCCGGAATTCATTAACTAATATAATTACTTCCACATCTTGGAGTTTATTGATTACAGCTACTTCTGGTGTCAAACGTACGCGGAGAAACTGAACCAGGATTGAGTATCAAGGATTCTGGAGTAGAATTAGATGATTTAATCTCAGACATTCTTTAGAGAAATTAGTCCGTATAGTTTGATCTGAGTAATTATACATTAGTCTAACCTTTAGCTGACCTCATCAATTTGAATCATGCCCCCCCCCCCTCCCTCGGCCACCCCACACCTCTCCCTCTGTCTTACCAAACTCGAACTTTTTATAAATCATTCTTGAACACTTTTACCATGTTATAAAAGCAGCAAAATAAAATAAAAAGGGATTATTTAATAATTTTAAGTGTGAATTTTATATTAATGTAGTAAAGATAAAATAATGATCTAATCCGTATAACTTTATTTCTATACAATGTTCTTGCGAAGAAGGTTTGATAAATTCACCGTAACAAAACTGGATTGTATCAGTTGAAATTTTTCGTTTGTCTTGGTTCAGGGCGGTTTATTCAAATACTCTTTTCTGCAACATGGTTCAATATTGTTGCGTCAGACGTCTAAGCCTACTTTTTGTTTTCCCAGTTTTTTTTACTCTCTTTCGGATCAAACATGTGAGGACAAAAAATGTTATGAATTCTTGGTTCAAATTTTTAGTGAGAGTTTCTCTAGGATACCTTTAGAGCTAAGGAGCAGATCAATTTTTATCTTTTATTTAACAAATTTAGATTTACGTTTAACAAACCATAATGTTTTATCAAATTGTCTGCCAAGGTATTTATAACACCATTGTTCTTTATTTTTAAACATTTAAACCAATTGTTCCTTATTGTCGAGTCTATTGTTGGATATGACTGTCTAGCTCCGAAAGGAAGCGGAACTTGGTATTTTGGTCAGATAATATGATATCACACTTCTCATTGTCCTGCTCACAGCCAACAGTTGAGAGGAAGGAAGGATATGGAACCCTTCATGCTTACCTTCACATCCGTCCTCGTCTCAGCTATTCTAGGAATATAATCTTCACTCAGGGTAGAAATGCCTGTTCATGGTTGGAGTTGATTCTTTAATGGAGATTTTATGACGGGTTTCTCAGGAGGCAACCCTATATTCTCATACTCCTTTCCCTTGCCTTTATACAAACTGAATGGTTTAAAACCATGAGACGGCCAAATTTTTAATATCAATTGGTTGTAATTATACCGATCAGTTAGTTTCTATTCACAATCCATATTTGCTTAATAATGATATAAACCTTGAGGGATTTGAGCAGTTTCAACCTTTGATCAGGTACTAAACCTTTTCAAATTATTTTCAGTTCCAAATCTTATCCAATCAAAATTATTATCAGCTCGAAACTTTATCTGATGGAACTTAAAATCAGTTTCAAACTTTTATAAGATTAATTGATACATAATGAATCCAAATATCTGTTATTACTAGAACTTCCGCCATCTTTTTGCACTCATTTTGCTTTGTCTCGCTAACGTTTCTGTGAGGATTAGATCTTTGCTAAAGACTTAACATTAAATTAAAGGAAGAATGAGAGATAGAAGTAAAGGAAGAATGAGAGAAAGAAGTAAAGGAAGATTGAGAGATAGAAGTAAAGGAAGATTGAGAGATAGAAGTAAAGGAAGAATGAGAGAAAGAAATAAAGGAAGAATGAGAGAAAGAAATAAAGGAAGAATGAGAGAAAGAAATAAAGGAAGAATGAGAGAAAGAAATAAAGGAAGAAGGAGAGAAAGAAGTGAAGAAAGAATGAGAGATAGAAGTAAAGGAAGAATGAGAGATAGAAGTAAAGGAAGAATGAGAGATAGAAGTAAAAGAAGAAGGAGAGAAAGAAGTAAAGGAAGAATGAGAGATAGAAGCAAAAGAAGAATGAAAGAAAGAAGTTAAGGTAGAATGAGAGATAGAACTAAAAGAAGAATGAAATAAAGAAGTAAAGGAAGAATGAGAGAAAGAAATAAAGGAAGAATGAGAGAAAGAAATAAAGGAAGAATGAGAGAAAGAAGTGAAGAAAGAATGAGAGATAGAAGTAAAGGAAGAATGAGAGATAGAAAGGAAGAATGAGAGAAAGAAATTAAGGAAGAATGAGAGAAAGAAATAAAGGAAGAATGAGCGAAAGAAGTAAAGGAAGAATGAGAGAAAGAAGTAAAGGAAGAATTTGATTTGTTAGTAAAAAAGTTCTGCAACACTTATTTTTGTTATTTTGTAATAGCCGGAAGCGAACAGATTTAGAAGTGTTACGCAAATAAAACCATGATTGAAAAGTGAGCCCTCTAATTTAAGCCTTGATAACAACAAGGGCCTTCGGTCTGATTTACCTAATAGATTGTAACCAACTTCCGGGGTTTTCGTAACAACAGAAGATTGTTTACTCTTTGTTAGATCAAATACTAAATGTTTACACCAAGCTTTTTTTGTCCTGAACCAGTGAACTGGGAGTTCCAGAAAACATGAGATTGAAGTAATTCAACTGAATAATGGTTGATCTTCTACTTTTTTATTTATTAAATCATTGAAGTTTAACACATTTTCCACATTTTTGTTTTAATTTTATCAAGACGACATTTTTAATTGAAGGTTATCATGAATCAGTCATATTATTTGTATAAGACATTCAAGTTCACGATTTTATTATGCTTCAAATAAAACATTTTTTAAGACTCCCTGTCAACTCAATCCATAGAGCAATTGGCCCAACTGCACTTACAAAGAACTAATTCGTCGCCATTATTTCATTGCGTCAAGAATTGATGAGAATTTGTTTGAGATTATTCCCAGGATTTGATCATGGTGATTATATCTTCCAGGAGTTTTGAGAATATTTTAGGGTTGAATTCATAATTTCCTGAAGATTGTATTGATTATTCAGTTTTACTAATCTACAGCTATATTCAATTCTTGCACTACATTGGGGGGACATGTAACCCATCCGCAGGTTTGTTTAATCAGCTAATGGTTGTTTTTATCACCGAGGGAACCATTAATAGTTTATGGCTAATTGACTTCTGACAGTTTGGTTTATCTATATAATTCTATTTTTTCCAGGAACCAATTGTGAGAATAATATTGATGAATGCCTGCTTGACTCCTGTATGAACGGTGCTACCTGTGTGGATGGTGTCAATAACTTCACTTGTACTTGTCCCCCCGGATACTCAGGTCGACAATGTGAGATTAATATTGATGATTGTGCTCCGCAACCGTGTCTCAACGGAGGAGGATGTGTTGATGGAGTTAATTTGTATATCTGTAACTGCACCAACACTGGGTTTACCGGAGACAACTGTGAGCAAGATATTGATGAATGTGCGGTCAACCCTTGTATAAACAACGCAACCTGTCTAAACCTGGTCAACGACTATAATTGTACCTGCTGGGACGGGTTCGAGGGGGAAAACTGTGAGACGGATATTCCTGAATGTGCTCTCGGTCCTTGTCAGAACAACGGAACCTGCTACGAGAAATCCAACCTAGAATTGTACCAAGAGGAAACCTATTCCTATCTCTCCGATAACATCAGAGATCATTTTACTCAAGAGTTCAGCTATGCTAATGCATCAGGATATATCTGTGAATGTTTGCCAGGGTTTCAAGGTAATTTTTTTAAAACGTCATGTTTTGTATTTTTTAAACATTTATACCCCCTCCCCATTCCTACCCTGATGCACAATGAGTTAGTTTTATTTCAAATACCATCTCATCTTCACTCCGAACCTTTGTGGGATGACGTTAATGGTTTTACAGAGCCTTTTGAGCCTGATCCCAGGATTTAAGTTTACAAAATATTATTTTTCGTCCTTGCACTTTGTTGTTGGTAACTCGTCCTTTGTCCTTCGTCCTAGTCTAACATGACTAACCTTTGTGTTCTATGTATCCAGGATTAAACTGTGAGGAGAACATAAATGAATGTGAAACAAACCCCTGCAGAAACGGAGCTGAGTGTGTGGACGGGGTCAACAAGTACACTTGCTTGTGTCCCGAGGGTTTCGAGGGGGACAGATGTCAGATTAATATAAACGAGTGTAGGAAGTATGATCCGTGTACCAACGATGCTGTATGTGTAGGTAAGATATAAATTAACAACTAAAATGTCCTTGTTCAATGTGTTTAACTAATTATTGTTGTTTATTTTGTCAATGAATGAGTCCTAAAATCGATTACATTAAATTTCGGTAGGGCAGGTATCAATCATTATTCAATATATGTAAAAGGGCTTAGAATAATGTTGGTATCTGATGGCAGGCTGGCACAATGTCGGTTGTCCGTTGCTTCAAAATTACATTAAAAGATATAAAAATGACTAGTAATTCATTGAATCATTGCAAATCATAAAACCAGGCTACAATTTTGATTTAGTAGAATCTTGAAACTGTAGAATGTACGTAGGACAACCCTAGATGATATTGTTTTTGTTTAGATCTGGTGGCTGATTATGAGTGTGTATGTAAGAAAGGGTTTGGAGGGAAGAACTGCTCCGTTCCACTGACAGGATGTAATGAAGTAACTTGTCTTAACGGAGGAACCTGTATCCCCTGGTTGATCGGAGAAACAGATCATCGGGGAAACTGCTCTTGTATGCCTGGGTTTGATGGAGACGTCTGTCAGATTACCACAACCTTTTCATTCAAGGGGAACTCTTACATTTCCATAGATTCAGAGAGAAGTGAAGGTTTTGAGCTTTCACTAAGATTCAGAACAACAATGGCTGACGGTTTGGTTGCTATTGGACACAGTCCATCTTTCTTTAGATTAAATCTCAAAAATGGACGTTTAAATCTTCACTCGAGTATGCTCAACATTTTTGAGGGTATATTCATTGGTGAGGATCTAAATGATACTGAGTGGCAGAAGGTTTATGTAGCATTCAATATCAGCCATCTCACTATAGGGATAAATGATAGGTATCAGGTGATACAACCAATCAATCCTGAAACACCAAGTCAAACTGCTTTCAGAGAAAATTTCCTCGGTGGTGTTCCGAATAATGGCACACTGAAACTGTTGGCAGAAAGTACTCCTGACTTTGTTGGTTGCATGCAAGATATTTCTGTGAATGGTATCCGGGTAAGTGAAGAAGACGTTCGTCAGAATGAACTTGGAACCCCTGGGATTTCTGAGTACAATACGGAGAAAGGTTGCTACAGGAAAGATCAGTGTAAACCCAACCCCTGTAAATCTGGAGGGAACTGTACTGATCTCTGGAGAAACTATAAATGTTTATGCCACCGACCCTTTCTTGGTCCCTCCTGTCAATACAATTATACTGGAGCAACATTTGGATACGAGAACACTACCGACAGCCAGGTGGTTGTTAAGGTGAAGGAACCAAACGACTACAAAGACGGTATAGATTTGACAATGTTTATCCGAACGCGGAAGCCGACTGGAATTATTTTCTATCTCGGAATAGATCCTACGAACCCTGTAAGAAATCAAATTATCGGGAGGTTAGTGAACGGTGCCCTTCGGATTGAAGCCAGATTTTCAGATAAAGATCCAGAATCCTTTACACTCTACTCAGCTTTACTTTCTAACGGTTACAGTCACTTTATCAGAGTGACGAGGATGAAAAACCAGATGACTGTTAAGGTTAATGACACGATATCCATCAAACAAGAAATATCCTCTGTAGTTCCCATCGTAGCAGATTATCTATATTTAGGTAACCTGCTTGTATCCGGGACTACACCAACCATCACCCCTCTGGAGATTTCTACGGAGTTACCCGTGTCAGCTCCAGGTGTTGACACAACCATGATGATTCCAGATACTACGACATTCTTGCCAATCGCCCTTCTAGATATTCAGGATACTACTATGGCAATCATAGAGGAGTCTCCTGTTACTTTTATGGACTCAGAGGAAATGACAACCATGGAACCCCTTCCTGTAATATCAAGAGGAGTTCGTCAAATCACAACGTTTCCTTCGGGAGAAGAGTTGACCTTCTTCAAGGGAGTGATTCAGGATGTTCAACTAAGTAACGGTTCTGGAGTAAATAAGATTGTTAAAATGTTTGAACTTGATTTCGCTGAGAACGTAATTGTCGAGGAATCTCTTGGTGAGGTGACTTCGCTAGAAATTAAGAAAGGAGTTGTATCAGACAATACCTGTAGAGTCAATCCTTGTCTTAATGGAGGAGAGTGCTATGTTTCTTGGAACGATTACAAGTGTAAGTGTGGACCTGGATACATGGGCCGGGACTGTGACGAGATAGAATATTGTTACTGGAACCAGTGTCCGGAGGGAAGTACCTGCACTACTCTGGTGGACGGATTTGAGTGCATCACCAATGCAACTTTCAACGGCGTTAACGACACCATCGTATTCGAACCTCAGATCACTGAGGCTACAAATATTAACACCATAACTGCCAGGTTCAGAACTGAAACTGGCGGAACCTTGCTCCACGTCGAGGGAACTGACGGAAACCAACTGAAGATCGGAATCAAGAATGGACAGGTTGAAACAATTCTTCCTGTCTCTAACAATCTCAGAAACTTCTCATTTGGATCTTCTGTCAATGATGGATTTTGGCATACAATTAAGATAGAAGACCATGGAGGAATTATTACAGGTTCCGTGGACGGAGAACAGCTTAATGAACATTTTCTGGAGGGCAATGATACCCAACTAGAAATTCTCCCATTCATATTAGGCTCGAGAGTGGCAGTTGGATCAGAGTTCAATCTAGATCGTTTTTACGACTTTTTCCGAGGATGTGCCGGAGAAATGAGAATTGGCTCCATCCTGCTCCCATACTTTACAGAGACTGAGATGGTTAACATAACTTCATCCAACAGGTTTGTAGTAACAAACAGCAATAACGTGAGGAAGAACGAGTGTGTACTCTGCTATCAGCATGAATGTGAAAACAGTGGGGTCTGTGAGGATCCATCTGAGAAGTTTGAATGTTCATGTCCTCCAGGATTTGACGGAGGAACCTGCTCCAGGAATATTGATGAGTGCGCGAATAGTTCTTGTATCCATGGTTCCTGTGTGGACGGTATAAACCAGTACACTTGTCAGTGCATCCATGGTTGGATAGGACAGTTCTGTCAGGAAGACAAGGATGAGTGTGAAGACGAACCTTGTAAAAATGGCGGAACCTGTCAGCAGACTGTAGAACCTGGAAGTTATGAATGTACCTGTACGGAAGAGTACAAAGGACAAAACTGTGAAAGCTTGAAGGTTCGAACTTGCAATGAGACTCCGTGTGTCAACGGAGGAACTTGTATAGACGAACCTGACTCTACCTCTTCGGAAAGATACAGGTGTGATTGTCCCCAGGGCTACGAAGGTTTCAATTGTGATACTCAGATCAATTTCTGTGTCAAGTTGAATGCGAACTGCCAGAACGGGGGAACATGTAACTCCGACTTCTCTACTTTCGTAAGTATTTATTTCTAATCTGTCAGACTTTTGGCTCGTACAAGAGTTAGTAGAGAGTAATTTGACTGATAAATTATATTTTAGAGTTACCAGTGTGTCTGCGTGGATGGATATGATGGCAGAAACTGTGAAAATGATATTAACGACTGTGCCAGCAAGCCCTGCAAGAACAACGGGAAGTGTATCGACAAGGTGAACCAGTTCAGCTGTGACTGTGCTGGTACAGGGTTTGGTGGACCCTACTGTGAGAAGAATATTAACGAGTGTCTGAGTAATCCTTGTGAGAATGGAGCAAGGTGTAACGATACACTCGGAGATTATGAGTGTGCTTGCCTTGGAAACTACTGTGGTAAAAACTGCCAGAGGCTGAATCCATGCATAAAGGTGAGAGAACTTTAAAGAATAGCATTTGCAGTCTTTTAAGATAGAAACTTTTGAATTGACGGATGTGGGTTAATTTTATTGTTTTAAAAGGAATGGAGTCTTAGCCACAAACTCAAAATTTTAAATCCCTTTATCTTTGCAACTGATTGTGTAAACCTTAGATATTTCATGCTTAGATTTTTTGAGTTAACAGAATTCATAGCTTGAAATATCTAAGATCTTTGACATTGGGTTGCAAATATACAGGGATTAGTAATTCAAAGTTTGTTGCAAAAACTCACTTCCTTTGACCATTAATTAGAGGCCAATCTTTTCTTGGGAGAATGTTTTAATTCATTTAGGCTGGCTCTGATCAATGGTCATTCAATACTGTTTAAAAACACAAAACCTCCGTATTGATTTAATTTTAATCATTTAGGTGTTTTGTAAACTTAGTGTAGGAATACAATGTATTTCTTTAAATTCGTTAAAAGATGACAATGTACGATTTACAAAGTTATCGTTTAAACCTAGGACTGTTGATTGAGTTGAGAGGGCTCTGCGTTTAAATCTCGTGAAAACCACTGGAATTCCTGAAAAACAAGGTTTACGCTGCGTACAGTGTGAACTTGTGTCCCTTGACACTAAAAGCGGTTTCCAAAAATTTAAACGAAAATATTTATTGTCTGTCAATTCTAGAAAGTAAATATTATTATTCACGTAAAGCGGTTTCGTATATTAATGAGAGTAAGTCCTAAAATATTGACCGGTCAAAGGTTTTAAGGGTATCGTTGTTAATCGGGCATTACCATCTTTGCACGAAGAGTCACTTGACATTACGCTTACAGTTCCTTATACACGTATTATAGAGCTATTTATACTTTTCATCAATATAGGACGGAATCCTGTGTGAGAATGCAGGAGTATGTGTTCCAAGCTGTGACGATGCTCCATTCTATAAATGTTCTTGTAACTCAGGATGGGAGGGTCCAACCTGCAGTCTAAAGGTATGGAATAAAATACATTTTAGTTAAAGAGAATGTTCACGGTTTTTGGTTTTATATTTTCTACTAGACCTGGCCGACTTATTGACCTGTCTTTCCAGTGTCCAAGAAATCCCACTTAAATAGTATTTTGAACCATAAAACCGTTAACATTCCGTTAATTAAATAAATTTTTTAATCATACAATTACTGTGTTAACTTTCCATCTTCATTTTTTAAATTTATTTTGTTTACTTCTCTGCAGTCATCCTCAAGTGAGGAACTGGCTCTTATTGTTGGGCCAATCATTGGAGGCATGGCCTTCATAGCCCTCATCGGACTCCTGGTCTTCCTTGTGATGGCGCGGAGGAAGAGGAAGGGGGAGGGGCACTACAGGCCTGCTAAGCAGGAGCTCACCTCCCCTAGACTACAACTAGACACAGTGCTGAAGGTGCCCCCTGAGGAGAGGCTGATCTAGAGGATCTAGAGGGTAGGAGACTGCTGCTGTGCATGATGCATTCTCGATCTATCGCTTTATTCACGTTTTCAGGGTTGGAGCTAATCAAATATCAGGGTTTAGGACGCACATTATTACTTGGTTCTGCAGTACGGTTTTAGTGGTGTTGGGACGCTTTGCATCTTTAGTAATACAAATTTAATATATAACATATAACCTAATATAGTTTTATGATAGCATGATGGGATAGTCGAGGCTTGCTCAAAATTTGTCTTTAATTCATAAGAACAGTAATATTAAAAATTAAATACTTGTTGATTTATTAATGAAAGTATTTAATTTTTGATAAAGTCTGGATGATCTGGATAATCCTTGAATTTTGAGTATACATATTTTATGGATAAATTTATGCGTAATTATGTAAATTACATTTTACGAACAATTAGAATATGAACTAGAAAATCTTGCTTGGGTTCTTGTAAATGCATATCTAATGTCTATACATATAAAGTTGTAATCACTGTTTGTTTGTATGTCCGATCATAACTCATGAACCCCTTGTACGATTTGCCTCCCATTTTGATTTGGGAACTCTAGAACCACGGGAATGTTCTTAGTATGGGTTTAAGTTAAGTGGGTCCACGTTTATAGGGAAAAATAGCTGAAATAGTTATTTACGACCATGCGCGGGTAAACGGTGGGAGTAACTATTAGTTACCTGGGCAACGCTGGGTTCTCAAGCTAGTGATTAAATTAAGAAGTTTTAGACATTCATTCAATCATGCATTTAAAGATTAGTACATATGGTAAGTTGTACAGTACATTCCATAGACTTTATACAGTTTGCAAACAGCGTTTTCTGGGTGAAATGATAAAAATTAGTTCCTAAAATTCTATTTATTTCGTTAATGTTACGGGAATTCTAACTAGTAACATATCTGTATATATGGTATGGGAATATTAATCTGGTAATATATCTGAATAGGTTTTTATACAGTGGTAGGCGATTAAATCAATACAATGAAGACGATTTTCGATTTCAATTTTGATTAATATCAAGCTTTTTAACGGTATGGATACAAAACATGGAAACAAAGAGAAGCTCCCGATTAAAAAAGCTTCTCATAGAATACTTGTCAACTTGTAATTCAAAAAAGCTTGTAAACAATAAAAACTTAAATAGAAAAGTCGTCTTCATTGAATTGATATAACGCCTACCACTGTATGCTACTAACAACTTGTAACATATTTGCGGATGGGTATCTATGGTATGAGAATACTAACAGCTGGTAACATATCTGTATATAGTATCTATGGTATAGGCATTATATCTGCTGGTAACATATCTGTATATAGTGTCTATGGTATGAGATTACTAACAGCTGGTAACATATCTGTTAATAGTGTCTGGTATGAAAATACTAACAGCTGGTAACATATCTGTATATAGTATCTATGGTATAGGAATTCTATCTGCTGGTAACATATCTGTATATATGCATCTATGTTTACACTAACAGCTGGTAGCATATCTTAAGTATTTACACTTACAAAAGAGAAGAGGGATGATTTCTTTGTTGAACAACAAACTAAGATTAAAAGCACTGGTGACGGATTCGTGAAGTATTCAGTTAGGTTAATGCAAAAACCATAAAATAACCTTCTTAATTAAGACATTATGTTTTACGTTTAATAACTGTAAAAAAGTTGCTGATTGTTTTTTCTTCTTCAAAGCTTTAAAGCTGTTTTAATGGTTTTCACTTAACTGGGTCAAGATTAAGCACTTTTGTTTGATTTCAGACAGAATAGTTTCTTCTCTTAGATAAACAAAACCTTTTAGCATTTTTCTAATAATTTTTTCCCCCAGGTGTTTGTAGAGAGCGAATGGGATGGACGGGATAAGGACGGGGATTGGTTACTCCTGGTGATAGCTCCACTGGCCGGCGGACTCATGTTCGTTGCTGTTGTGGGACTACTCGTCTTTGTATCGCTTGCAAGGAAGAAAAGGTCCCTAAATGGAACCTATAGTCCACAAAAGCTTGAATTACAAGCCCCAAGGTTGGAGTTGGATTTTATGATGAAACCACCCAACGAGGAAAGACTTATTTAACAGGTTACCCGAGTTAAAACATTATTTTTAACATGCCATTATATAAATATCTATATATATATATATGTATATATATATATATATATTGTGACATATCAACGAACTTCGGGAGTTCTGTGACGAGAAGAGAAATCTTTAAACCTTGTGATAAAAAATTAAACCTGCTTTCATTTTATCTAAGGGATTTATAACATACGATGTAGTGCTAATGTGTAATCAACATACTTGAAGTACTTGAAGTATTCAAGTACTCCCGGTACTCCAGGTACTTCAGGTACTTGGAAATACTTACAGTATTCCGAGCCCGTAATATGCTTCAGTTACTCTGATGTGAACGAAGGAATTACTTCCAAACAAAACCAGTATTTAGTGTTGAACCTAATATTAAAAAATTCTTCTTTTGTTAAAAATTTGAGTTTAAATATTTTAAACAACTAAACGTTTTCTATACATGCAGTTAGTGTTGGGCTGTTATAGTGCTTAAAGGGATTCTATGCGTAATGTCAAATTTGATAAACTCAATGGAGTTAATTCTATTATTATATAGATATTAGATAGTCCCTTTAAGCATATATTTCACGATTGTCATTCCTTCCAATTTTTTTAATCATTCCTAATATTCTGATATAATTCCGTTTAGATTAAATCTATTGCATTTACAGAGTAATGTGCCATTGTTCCCAGTATTTTCATCCATTTTTCTTACACTTAAGTAAACATTTATCTTCCATATAAATACATGCTCATGTACCATGTACAATATTGTAAATATGCATTTTGGAAATCATGTAAAAACACCTTCAAGGAAAATACTTTTAAAAACTTTTAAATGGTGGGATAATTTGAGATTACCGATTACAATAATCAGAAATTAGTATTATTATTATCATTATTATTATTATTCATCTTTACATGTAAATATAAAATTTATTCTTTAATGCACATTTATTCCGGTGAGGTTTATAAATCAAATCAAAGATGAAATGTACAGATTGCGTTGAGCTCCGACAAACAGAAGGGAGTACTGTAAGCTTTAATTTTAACATTTGCGAAAATTTTATTAATTTGTGTAAAAGATTTGGACTTTTCTCTATTTGACATATTAAAAAGTTAAGATCAAGAATTTGCAGCAACACGAACAAATTTAAGCAATCTTTAATCTTTACGGAAAGAATGAATTTCAAACTTATTAAAAAAAGTAAAAATATCTAAAACTTGCTGTGGCCAAATTTAAAGAATTTGAGCGGCGGTTTAAATTTAATGCGCGGTTCAAATTTGGTTGGTTCCACTTAAAATTGTATCAAATGTTTCAAGATTTAAGCCGGCGCTTAATTAAAACCGAGTTTTGGCGGATTTAAACCGCGGCTCAAATTCTTTAAATTCCATCTCAGATCATTCAATTTGTATGAAAAAAGTTCCCTATTGACATAGAAACGGTAGCTATAGAAGGATCATTGACGCGGACCGGCACGCGTCAATGATCCTTCTATGGTACCAGTTCTGTGCCTATTGCTAATTCATATATTATCTATTGTCGTCTTCCATGTTATAATTTCAAAGCAATATCTCATATTCATGGGACTATTTAAACGCGTATTTTTTCATCTGCAATATTTTATTTTTGAAACTCGTTGCACAGGGTTGTCAACAAAGGATGAGACTTTAGAGAAGACTGCACAGAATATATTCTATAATTTTCCATAATTCATGATTCAATAAAGAATTCTCTTTCGTTATAGTAAGCAGTCAAGTTAGTTAGATGCAGATCCATTCAAATCCCCATTCAAATACACAAAGCTACTTTTAACTTTAAACATTGTCATGCCGGCAATAAAGTCATGAATCATGATACAAATAGCAAATGGTGCTTTTACTTTTACACCAGAACCCGAAATTTAAGAGTATCGTTGAACGAAACTCCTGAGTTTTCTTTTTTGGGGTCTTAACATTTGTGTAGATTTTGATCTAAGAGATTCGAAAAATGGAGAATATGGAGAAACTAAATAAAATAATATTTCATAACAAAAATATCGAATATCACAAAACTGCCTAACCCCATCCATGAAACCCGGGTTTCAAAACTGGTTTTCATAACGATACCCTGTCTGTCTTAAGTTTTGGGCTCTGTACTTATTTAAAAGTAAAGTTTAAACATTGTCCTAATCCTGGATCCTAGATAAATCATAATAAAATAATATTTAATGACAAAAATATTGATACCTACAAAACTGCCTTACCCCATTCGTGAAACCTGGGTTTCAAAACTGGTTCATAACGATACCATGTCTTAAGTTTTGGGCTCAGCTCATGCAGCTCACATTAGCAATCTACTAGTGTATCTAGGTTTAAGATACAGAAGGAAGTAGATCCAAATTGACATGGGACAAATTGCAGGAATCGAGTCGATTCTTGGAACCCATGTAGTCTTGTAGAGGCTAGAGCACCGAATAGTTACATTTGGAACCCATGTAGTCTTGTAGAGGCTAGAGCACCGAATAGTTACATTTGGAACCCATGTAGTCTTGTAGAGGCTAGAGCACCGAATAGTTACATTTGGAACCCATGTAGTCTTGTAGAGGCTAGAGCACCGACTAGTTACATTTTATCGCTTAACCGATCCATGTCTAATATTCAACGAGTCTTAGCAACCAGCTCAACTTTTACAATCCTTATACTATTGCAACCTGATTGCGTTATCCTTTGATATTTTAAATTTGAATAAATTGATCTATCAGAATTATATTGTTAGAAATATCTAAGGTCTACGACATTGGGTTGCAAAGATATAGGAATTAGAAGATCTGAGTTAGTTGCTAAGACTCAGTTGCATCTTTTTGAAAGAAAAAACCCAATAATTTTAACTTTTCATAAAACTTAACAAACTGCTAATTTATCAAACTTTATATACTCGGTGTTATGGGCGTTGCATACCGATAAACGTAAAAACGGCAAAAACTAATTGGCACAACATTTTTGTGTGGGACCACACAATGCACATGGCCCCTGTGAGGTAATGCAGCAAAAACTGCCACCAAAGAATTTCGATTTTCATATCTTTTAATTGTGGAAATGAAAACAAGAAATTCGGAGGAAATGTTTAGTTTTAAAGAAGAAAGAAAGGTGAAAGCAACATTAAAAAGCCATAGAATTTTACAGAAAACGGCGAAACGCTTTAAAAGCCATAGAAAGCCATCATGTAACGTGTGTAAGAAATTTGTCTCAAAGATCCTCCCTTCTCCACCCATGTAAATTCCATAACACAATTATCTTAACGATATTTGAAAGTTTATAAACATGAAAAAAATTTGTATGTTAGAAATAGGGGTTAAGTTAATTTTAAATGATAAGACAAAATCTACGCTGAGACCCAGACAAACAACTGTGGATATAGGAAAAGGACAATCAAGCAATCTTATGTTTATGATGATATGTTATAAAGCAAAATGGGTCTGTACAATTGCTTTGTTGTTACATATAAACTAAACTATTTAAAATCATAACTTGAGGCTAATAGTCGTCTTCATTTTCCAGTTTTATGGGCTTCCCTGCCTGGAATTGAAATTTTCATGGCCGTAAGCAGAGAAATTAAGAGCATTGTAAAATAAGGCAAAATTTCTAGCAAGCCAAATGCCTTTATCAAGTCTAAAAACAAAGAAGCACTATAAAGATAGAGAAAGTAGCAAAATTTAAAAACTGGCGTTTGACCGAATCGTTGAATATGAGATTAGCTATGAGGGAATTGCATAGTATAGCCGTTTTTCCCCAGCCTCTAACAGAAACAGTTCTTATTAAAATTAATTTGGTCTCTAATTAAAAATATTTGGCTTTTACATCCACCAAAAACCTGGTTTCAAACAAATGATGCATAAACAATTTGTCTATTTTAATTAAGATTAAGACATGTATTTTTGTTCCCTAAATTTCACTAAATCCTTGACTTGAGATAATTTTTGCAGTCTATAAAATAAAGCTCTTCGCTCATGTATATAAAGTTGTATGTATATTTATTTATATGTTAGCTACAGCTGGCCAAACGGCTAATTATTTTTGACGGAACACATAAAGGTTATATAAAGATAGAGAAATTTCATTTTATTCTAAAGGTGTATCATGTACGAATGAAATTATATGAGCACCAACTCACAAAACACAAAAGTTTTTGTCATTGAGATATTAGTTTTCAAAAATTGTTATCATTCTGTATTAGAGTGTTTATAGCATCCGAAACTATTGTTTATTATAGCTGTTACCTCAACTCAGACAAAATCAAACTGGTTAGTTGTTCTTTCGCATATGTCAATACTTACATACATACAATGTAACAAATATGTTTGAGTATTTTTCAAAAATTCAATTCCTTAAATTTTGCAGAAACTAATTGTCTCAGTTTCAATTCTTTGAACAATTCAAGCCTCAAGGGCAACATTGTAAAACTTGAGCAAAAAACTAAATTTTGAAAATTTTTTGTGTACCTTTATGCAATGCATCAAATACAGGGAAAATTGAAGTTTCACGGTAACATTAAGTTCAAGCTAAAATCAGACACTAATGTTGTTGACAAATTAGAAAATATTCTATATACCATAGAATTCAGGTCAAAGCACTAGTTTTTATACCAAAACTACAACCCCCATGTTTCACTCGGTGACACTGGGCCCATACTAAAACACTCTTCTTTGCACCTCACTTGGAAATATCCTGGCTACGGTCCTGAATTTGTGCTTTTATCCTAAACTTTGTGTAAAGTTTGGGAAAAAAATTTTCAGTTGAGGGCAAATTTGTGTGGGGGAAATCTTTAATCTATATTTTGGGGCAAATTTTTTGATTTGGGGCATTCTTTTCAGTTGGGGGCAAGTTTGTTTGGGAAAAATCTCAAATCTTTATTTTAAAGCAAATTTTATTTTTGGGGGTGATTTTTTCAGTTTGTGCCAATTTTGCGTATGGAAAATCTTAAATCTTTATTTTGGGGGCAAAATTTTTTATTTAGAGGATTTTCAAAATATATGAAGGGGCATGTCTTTTAAACAAAGGGCTCTTTATTTGTTGGGGGAAAAACTTCTTAATTTTGAGGCATTATAACTAAAAAAAATTAGGAGGCATTTCCTTAGATAAATGGCTATAGGTAAATTAAAATTTTTTATTTAGGTGCTAAATTTAAAAAACAGAGGGCGCCAAGAACTCCACAAGAACCGGTTCAAAACCGGTCTGAAATTTTGATTTGGTCATATAGGCTAAAAACTCAGATTTATCGTATAGAATACTGCCTACACTTGTACGCAACCTTACTCTACTCACGATTGTGAATTGTGATCACGTGGACTCGTGAACGTGGACCGTGGTAGTGGTACTAATGCTTACGGATTTGTACACCGTACGGTTTAGGTTAAGTGATTCAATATTCGTATTTACAGTATTCAAAACCTTTTTTGATTGCATGATGGGGCTTACACATGGGACAGGGGATAGCGGCCATGAGCCCGCTTTAAGTCCCTTTACCTGAAAAAGTGAATACTAGGATAGGAATTCTATGGGGAATCCGTCCTTGACTTGTGTGTTTCAAATCCCCTTTTCTTGGATTTCTTGGTATATTCCTAGAGAACGATTTTTGNGGGGGGGGGGTGTCCAAAAATGGTTCTCTAGGAAATTACCTTCCCTTGGATTTCTTGAATCCCCTTCCCTTGGGTTTCTGTAAATGAATTAACCCTTCCCCCCTCTCCAGATAAATTTCTGAATACGCCGCTGCACTGGCTGCCATGCAAGTGTTAACCCTTACTTCTTAATAGTACGTTTTAAATATAATTAAAGATTAATGTTTAAAGTATCGTTATAAATGATTGTAATGACTTAAAGCCCTTTTATTTTAGTAAATATTTTGTACAAGACCTCATTTTAACTATTTTTCAAAACGAATTAATAATACAGGAGTAACTAGTCACACATCTAATCGTTAGTTTTTTGAATTTTTAACTAACGGAACTAGCAGTTTTTGAAAAAATTAACGGTTGATAAAAACGTTTTTAAAATAACTGCAACTTTCATTTTTTTCTGCTTAGATTTCCATGAAACTTATAAACAAAAGATAAAGTATGTATATTTATGTTTTGGATTTTTTATCGCTTATTTGTTGAATTAAAGAATTTAAAGTAATTTCCTAATATACATTTACTTCCTATCAATTTTGTACATGGATCTCGTGTAACACATGGATATAATTCGTCAAGTGGCCGCAGCACCCGGCCCCCCTATCCTGTACTTGCCGTGGCGCTTGGCCTCCTACCAGCTGCGCTCGGCCCCCAATTCAAATGAAATAGTTCAAGGGAAATGTGCACCAATGAACAAAAAATAGTTCAAATAAACATAAAAATAGTTGAAATGAACAAAATATATAGTTCAAATGTTTATAACAATAATCAAATTCAACAAAAGAATAGTTAAAATGGACAAAAAAAAGTTCAAATTAACAAAAAACACGTCAAAGGGACAAAAAAAAAAGTTTTAGGTAAGAACAAAATTTAGTGTAAATGAACTAAAAATAGTTCAAAAGAACAATTACTAACCTTATAGCCTCAAATTTATGTTCTCAGTTTGGGAGGAAGGTTCTAAGCTGAGTATGACGAATTTTATCAAAATTAATTTTCAAGCTCAGCTGGGTTTCAAAGCTAGTAATTTATATAATGGCCACAGAACTCGACCATATGTAGCCTATACTATAATAATATAATGACCACAGTGGTCAACCCATTCTAAGTACTTATTTGTTCATTTTTCATAGTGTATTTGAAATTTTTTTAAATTTTAACTATTTTTGTTGTTGTGTATTTGAACTATTTTTGGTCATTTATACCATTTCATTTTATTTTTTGTTCTTTTTATTGATCTTTTGTTCATTTGAACTATTTTTTAACTCATTCCCAATAAACATTTAAACATACTTATGTAATGCATGCTCATGTCGAAGATATCCATGGACTTGATGTTTGACAAAATGTTGGCAGAATTTGATCCATTTTCATAAAAAGTATTTTTATGTTTATTTGAACTATTGTTTGTTATTTGCATAAACCTTCCTTATAAAACCTTATTACAAAGATTGTTTCTGTAAAAAAAATTTTTCCTTCACTTTTTTTACACACCCCATGAATAAAACCAAATGATATATTATATTACGATTGGATTGAATTTTACACCAGCTTTCTATTGATATACAGAAATGTCATGAAGCTTGAAAAAAATTCCCTCGCAATTAAAGTAAGCTTTCTGCTCATTGTTTGAGACACCCTGTGCAATTGAAAATGTAATGTTAGTTGTGGAACTAATGTCCCCTGAAATATTTGTTTTGTATTTTATCTGGGATAGACAAATTTTGGTTAAACGCTGCGGCTAGGACAGGCAAGGGGGCTGGGCGCTGTGGCCCCAACCATTTAATTTTGACCTCATTGAGATACATGAATGAATCAAGTAATATAACTAGTAATTACTCCAAGATGTGTAATACAAATTTGCATGTATAAAGGGTGTTTTTCATATTTTCAGATTTCCACAGATCATGAACAGTAAACAAGTTCAGGGCAAAAGAAAACTAGAAGGTAAGTTTAATATAAATCGGTGAACTGGACTGGACTGGACTGGACTGGACTGGACTGGACTGGACTGGACTGGACTGGACTGGACTGGACTGGACTGGACTGGACTGGACTGGACTGGACTGGACTGGACTGGACTGGACTGGACTGGACTGGACTGGACTGGACTGGACTGGACTGGACTGGACTGGACTGGACTGGACTGGACTGGACTGGACTGGACTGGACTGGACTGGACTGGACTGGACTGGACTGGACTGGATAGGCTACGCATACAAAGGTTGGCTACACTCGATGCGCTTCAATGTATGGAAAATGTTGTCTCTTAAGAGGCTAGGATATTTAGATAAAAACCTCATACAGAGGCAAGAGTGGCGTCATATGAGGTTTTTATCTTATCTTAGTAGGAGCCGACATTTTCCGTACATTACAGCGGATCGAGAGTAATACAGTCCCCTTAGATTGAAAATTAACTCTGATTTTTATTTAGATTATTTGAAAATGGTGAACCGACCCTGTCGGGTCATGATAAGGAATATTCCTGCTCCGCTTCAGCAGTTTTACTTTTCAGGCAAACTTCAAAGTAAGATTTCTCCATCGCATTGGTATAAAGCAGGCGAGGGTGGGATGGACTGGTAACCCTGGCCACCAATGAGCCTCTGCTTTACAATATGCGAACCTCTTGGATTTAAAAAATATGTAAATATAAAAATATAAGATAAAAACTGTTTTTGTTGTATGATGAATATTGATACTTTTAGATTCTGTATTTTTTTATAATGAAGGATTTTTTCATTTCAATGTAAATCGTTTATGAGTTAATTATTTCAAGACAAGTAGAGACTGTCTACATGCTCCTCGCTTCAATCGCAGAATGTGTTGACGTATCCTCACTGAGCCCTGTTTAGTACCTAAAATCACTGTACTTTACTGTACTTTACTGGACTGGACTGGACTGGAATGTACAACCAAAACCCTGCAATCCTGCAATCCTGCAATCCAATGTGGAATTCTATCTTTATGACCACTCCAACCTCAATGCCACCTGACAGACAGCCATGAACCTGCTCAACTTCCACATCTACCCTTCCACTCCATTGCCCACCTCCCCACCCAACGAACAATTTCAAAGCTATCCTAACCCACAACCTCCTCTGTTAGGAGAATCAGAGGAGCCTGGCCTGGCCTGGACTGGAGAATCGGGGCTCCTGATTCTCTTGATTCTCCTGATTCTCCTATCAGAGGAGGTTGTGGGTTAGGATAGCTTTGAAACTGTTCGTTGGGTGGGGAAAGAAAAGCAGAAATATGTGTCAAAATGCATTTTCCCTTGTCTACAAGGGATTAGAAATGCATAGATCTAAAAGAGAAGAATAGAAATAGATTTCTGAATGAAATTTTGCATATGAGGTGTGTGTTTGTTTTAAGTAAACCAAAAAAAAAAATAATAAAAAGTTTGTTTTTCCCACTAAAAGCTTTAAAAACATGAGAAAAGTGGGAAAAAGGGAAGGGAAAAAAATTTTCACCCTTTTAATTTGTGTTAAACAAATACTATCCAATTGAGGCCCGTGTGCGAAAGATTATATAATTTTCAATGGAAAATGTATTCATGAATCCAGAAAATCTGAAAATATTAACCAAGTGGGAAAATCTGATAAAATAGGGGGAAAAGTGATATTAAAATTTCATTAAATAATTTTCAGCTAGTAATACAGGTCGGTCTGGACTACGTTTAAGGATAATCTTGGATCAGGATAATGTTCCTGATATTAAAGATTTATGTAATTCTAGATTTTACTCATTAAATGTTACATAATATAGTTTTTTATACTGATCAACAAAAATATACGGATTAAAGAATGACAAAATATTCACTGCGCAGGGGTATATATTTTCCTGGAATGACTTAAGCTTAAAACCATTAATCCGCATGATGCAGTTTTGACTAAGTATTCGAGTGAGGTGATGGAGCAATTAGTACTTAATTACATCTTACTATCTTAATGAAACAAAATGGGGTTTAAGGAAAATAAATCAGAGATTTCGCTGTAGGATGTTGATTTTTAGGGAACTGTAAATTGTGATATTTAGATTTTTTACAAGCTCCTAGAATAAATTTCATATCATTTTGAAACTTTAAAGTTTTTAAAAAACTATCATTTTATCAGCACTTTTTATTAGTGTATAGAGATGCAGTAAGTTGACAGCTTTCTTTGATTCCATGTTTATTTGTATCCATACTGTTTTAAAGCTGGTGGTAGAAATCAAAAGTGAAATATAAAGTTTTCTTTATTGTATTGATAAATACGACAACAACTTTATTTGCTGAAGTTTCGTTTTTTGGTGATTTTAAAGCTTTAGATAAGAATTGAATAGTAACCATTTGTACTTCCAGCATGATTCGAAAACCTTTACCGGCATTGTCGAAATCCAGTTCTTGAATTTTTCTACACACCCTGTGTTCTAACTAATGGTTATGCTGAGCATTCTAAGACCATGGTTTGAGAAATAAATGCTTTTAGACATAGTTGATGGAGCCAGTCCTGGGTCCAAGGTTAAGTCTATGAAGCCTGGCTCAAAGAAAAAGGAAACTGTCCCCAAAAAAACGAAACCGAAGAAATATGTCCCAATGAAGGAACCTCTCTTAATGAAGAAACATGTCTCCATGCAGGAAGAATCTGGTGGTATGTAGTTTTGGTCATTAAATAATTAAAATATTTTTAATGTAAAGAATTTGATTATTTTGCAACATTAATTTTCGATTTTTCAAAAATTGATTTATTTCAGACAACAAAATTATTGTTTTGGTACTCTTGACGAATATCTTTTTAAAATAAAAATCGTAAATTTACTAATTTAACGTTTCTGAATTAAGTGATTCCAGACGGACATTTTGATACTCAATCTTGGTTTATTTTTGATTATTGTTGCAAAATTTTTTCCGGATTTTATTAGTAATTTGATTTATAATGTATCAAAGAAGATTTAAGAACTGGTGCAAAGTGGATTTGAGCATTTTTAACTAAGAAGTGCCCAATAGTAAAAATTTCATTTGTGTTCAAGAAACTTTTATAAACTTATTAAAAATTACAGCTGTCATGATCTAAAATTAATAATATATACATTTGACATTTGTAATAGATAGTGAATGTTGCAAGGGAGAGATAAAGGTCGGAGATGTATTTGTAGGAGAAAGCAAAACGAAGTACAAGGTTTGCTTATTTTTTTATCTTTTAATGTTTTGCATCTAAGGGTTACTAAAGAATTCAATTTCAGTCTGGTGTTCAATCTTAGTCTGGTCTTAGTTAGTTGGCAAAAAAAACTTTATCCGAAAACAATAATATAAGAATGATTGTTATAACACGTTTGTTATAACATGTTCGTTATAACATGTTTATTATAACACGTTCATTATAACACGTTCATTATAAACATTCGTTTTTTGCATCATTTTTTTACATATGTCTTCTGTTGGTCAAAACTTGGCACATTGAAGAAAATTTTACTTGCACAAATTGACCTGTAACACATTCTATTGGTAAAAATATAGATTTCTCCCCATTTTCCCCTTTGTTCACTTTTTGTTTCTTCATTATTGACCGAGATATAGCAAAATTTGCACAGATTTCATTTGACCAAATAAATCCAAATTTTCTTAATATTTTAAGATCTTCATTAATTTAAAAAAAAAAAACACAAGAAAGTTTGACCACTTAAAGAAAAGATCTTAAGCCTCGTTTTTATACTTCCTCTGGCATGCATCAAAGATCAAAAATGAATTCCCATGTTTATTGGGACACCCCGTATGTTTGTGGCAGATTTTCTAAGCTTCAATTTCATGTATGGCACATTTTATGTTCCAAAACATTATCTGTTGCATACTTTATGACAGATATGAAATAAGATAAATGTTACCAAATGAATATCTTGATTGACTTTTTGAGCTAAAATTGGCATTTTATTCTTGTAGACTTTTTCCCTAAATTGGCAGATATGTTTCCTAAATCGGCAGATTATTTTCCCAATTTTGTAGATTTTTGCTCAAAATTTTCAGTTGTTTTCCAAGTGACCTCAGTCAGTAGCATCAAGTAAACTGACCCAAATTTGCTCTGGGAGGAACCCTGCCCGGAAAGAAAATATAGGGAAAAAATGACCTAAAAATGGCCAAATTACTAGAATTCTAGTTAACCCCGGAATTTTTTCTTCAAAGTTAGATTTAGTAAATGTACTCTAAAATTTGAACTAAGTTGACAGCTCTCGTTGAGAGGATGAGGGGGGGGGGATCAGCCAAAACAATATCTTGTTTGAGCCATATTCTCCTCATTTTAAAATAAAATAAAAGATTTTTTAAATAGAAAAAAAATTATTTCAATTGCATTTAGTTGGTAAAGTTCTGAATTTGTTCATCTGCCATTCTTTGTGTCTTTGATTCGGTTAAAGACTTAATACACCCAGGAGTTACGTGAAGAAGTTTGTTGTGATTCTTTTTTCAGTATTATAAGTTTTTCTATTTTAGGAAAGCATATCCCATGCTGAATAATGTACATATTCTACAGGTTGTTGAAGTCCTAAATATGGCAGATTTCTCTGAGATCTGGAGGGTAGAAGATATTTCAACAAATAAGAGATTTATTCTCAAGTTTGTCAATATCAAGTAAGTAACTAGGACTTACAGGGACTGTTAAGGAAACATGAAAGGTGCATAAGCTGAAACCTAAACACGTACGGAGTTGATCACGACCTATAAGAGTTCTATCTGAAGTCCCTGTCACTAGAAATTGATATAAAACTGTGCAAAGTTGTACTAAAACTCATATATATGAGATGTGGTATATAAATCAAAGATTTAAACAGATCACATACTAAAGCCCACTAAATCGGAAAATTACAATTTCATTTGCAATAGATAAAATTGATAATATAATTGATGTCTGTATCACGTGACTAGAACACCAATTGCAGTGCAGTATCTGGTCATGTGTCTCCCTCTGTATTATATAACCAGATGCTGCACTGCAACTGGTGGAAGTTCTGGTCACGTATCTCAAACATATTAATTATATCTATTAAAAATGAATAAGAAATATATTCACATTAAAATAAAACCGTACCTTTTCTCATTAATAAACAAAACTCCTTGGGATATTCTGGTCCCCTAGGAAGTCACACCCATCTATCGTTCTATAGGAACGCAATCATCCTTCTACCTGATTTCATTCATCCTACTACATGCACTCATCCGTCCTAGTACAAGAGTCCATTTACTCATATACATATTCCAATTCATTCTTCCTTCTACAGGAATTCATTCATCCTTCAACAGGAATTTTTTCGCCCTTCTACCGGAATTCATTCATCCTTCTGCAGGAATTTTCATCCATCCTTTTATAGGAACGCAATCACCCTTCTACCTGATTCCATTCATCCGTCCTAGTACAAGAATCCATTTACCCATGCACAGCAGTGTATTCACCCTCATACCGAAATTCATCCTTACTTAAACAGTTCAGTACATTAAGTCATTCTTTTTAATTCCAATTCATTCATCCTTCTACAGGAATTCATTCATCCTTCTACAGTAATCCATTCATCCTTCTACAGGAATTTTAACTGGATTACCACACCCTATGCAAGGCGCCTTATAATAGAGGAGCAGGGGTAATAACTTGTCCAGGAGTAGTATAAGACTACTCCCCCTTACCTGTTTGAATTACTGTATTTGCAAACATTCTATAATGTTTAGGCGCCTCCGGGTTATCTTAATTTTCAGATATGTTGCGTATTTGCTCAAAGTAATCTGTTCCAATACTCTGATTTATATACCACATCTCTAATACACTAGTTTCATATCAATTTCTTTAGACAGGGACATCAGATAGAACTCAAATAGGTCGCGATTAACTCCTAAAGTGATAAAGTTACAGCCTATTTTCATTTTTCCAAAACAGTCTCTTTAATATTATCTTTCTCGCGTAAATGATTAAAATTTTAGGGTTAGTATTTTTTGTAATTAATCTTATATTTATTTGTTTTCTAGACTTCATAAGACCTTAACCGAAACAGAAATTCATATTCTTAAGAAGGCGCAGAATTCTAGGTTAGTTTGCTCCAGGAGCTATAATTTTTCCACTTGACAATGATTGCACTTGTAGTGTGCACCATCTGACAGTTAATCTAATAGTATCTGAATTAGGTATCTTTTTCTTGTTTATTTTGTCTCAAAATATAATGAAAATAAACTTTTTCTTTTTTGACGAAACATATATTGCTGATCAAAAGACGATAAACATTATGAGCTACATTAGAGGCCGCGCGCTGCGTTAAGGTCAATCTAATGTATGAATCAATGCAGCTAGAGTAGGTAAGAGTACGGGTTAAAAGGTTTTATACCACTTCTAAAGGACTATTAAAATGCAAATGTAACCACCATGGCAAGTGTAACTTACAGCTTGTAGCAAGTATTAATCATGCAAACGTCACCGTGTTATGGCAAATTAAACTTCAGCCTGAACGCTTGATCAAGCATTTTTTGATAATTCAATTCCTCTTCGATATTCCGTGATGGTCATAACCTGAAGAGATAATTTTTATTGAGAGATCAAGTTTTTTATCCCAAACTTTGAAGCGTTCACAAAGAATATTGAGATCAAGCTTTTAAAATTAACGATAGTTCACACAAACGTTCCGTGAATAAACCTGACATGACCTGTTTGTTAGGAAGAGAGAGGAGAACTATATAGTCTCCCTGATTGACACCTGTGAGGCCTGGAAGGACAGGTGTCCCCACAGTCTCCTCATTCTGGAAGAGCTGGGGGACAGTCTACTCAAGATCATCCAGGAAAACAGATCTTTGAATTATTACAAGGGGGGGGGAAGGTTGATTTTCTCCTGGGTATTAACATCTTAGGATTATCGACCACAATCTTCACAACTTTGACGACTTTTTAGATATCTTCTTGCCTGAACATTCCATTTTGTTATGACTATCACTGTTTAGTGTTTATGAGTGTTGGGAGATTTTGTGTTTAAAGATTTATTTGAAGGGTGCCAGACCGCGGCTGGATTATGTTAAGCAAATCGTGCAAGAGATATTACTCGGATTAGATTTTCTTCATACTAGGTCAGAGTTTAAACTGGATCTTTTGTTTGATAAAATTTGGTAAAGAAAGCCCACAGGGTAATGAAAAGGGGAAATTAATATATTTTTTTCGGAAAAAGCATCAAACTGAATGATAAAAGTTCCCTCTTGATGTCCGAGGTCCTTCCAATGTTTCATTCTTAAACTCACCCCCCCCCCCCTTTTCCCGAGGGAGCGTGATGATACTTACTTGATACTTGTGTGTTGATCCTCAGTGTTCCATCTAGGAATATGTAGAGGATTTTTTTAGGAACTAATGATCATCTGCTGGAAGAATGGTATCTTCTAGGTTTGTGAATTGATCCCAGTGATCATTGTGGATCTAATGTAGTAGTCATACTTGTTTTTGAATACATTAATATTTTTGGCGGATTTAACATCTTGTGGTAATTTATTCCACGAGTTTACAACTCTATTACTAAAGCAATTCCTTCTCAGTTCTAGTTTTGAGTTTTTTGGTTTCAGGTTGAGTATATCAGCAGATTGTCTTGTTATGCGTTCACTAGTTTCAGCCACATGCTGGAACCACAGGGATTTGTCAACATCATGATGAAAAATATACAACCCTGAATGAACTAGAAATCCCGTTTAAAAAGATTTTTCCCACTCGTTTCCTGTTTATCGCAATAGCTTTTGCAATTTGCATTTATTGGTATTAAGTATGTTCGATTCGCTTTACTTTTATCCAACTCCCATTCCTGGGTGGGAGGGTGGGTGGATTAAGATGCACTTACGGTTGATAACCTTTTAAGTCTATTTGGCATGGTTCTACAGTTTAACCCCTCTCTAGGTGTAAATACATCCATTGTGATATTAAACCCGAGAACATTCTACTCCGCCAGGAGTACAAAGGAGACCGCAATCAGAAAATGATCAAAATAATTGACGTTGGTATTTCGCGGAAGAGTCGGCCATCCTATAGAGGGGAAATCCAGACCAGGGAGTACAGAGCTCCAGAGGTTTTGACTGGAGAGCTGGGACGCAAGTACAATCTTACAGAGGTAAATTTTCTTTTCTGTCTTTTAATGATAATGATGATTTTAATCAACGAATTGTCCTTTGAAACCCGGGCTCAACTCGCGACAGTGTCGCAAAATTATCAAAGGCTCAAAAATACTTCAGATTTGCAAATTTTTTATGTAGTATTTCTTTAAAAGCTAAATATAAATAAGTTTAAGTCTATTCACATGAGCCCGATCGTTGCATTTTCCGAACCGGTTCAAGGATTAACCGATCTAGTTTTTTCTCTTATCAGCCGTCTAGTGTATTTAGTATAATGTGCTGGACCTTGCTCGTTTTTTACAAAATTAGGCGGGCTGAAGCTTTCAGATTGCTAACTTTGATATTAATAAACAAAACGTCCAAGAATTAGTTTATTCAATTGTACAACATATACATGTTCATTGCCGATAAGGAATATTTTCACGCTGCCGTTGAATAAAACACTCTTTATAGTCAAATAAACTAAGTTAATGAGCCGATATCCTTAGACAATGCGTTGTAATAAATTCCAGGCAAAGCTGGATACACATACCATTCAAATAAAATTTGATTGAATAAAAGTGAAATATTCTTGATTTAGAAGGTGGATATCTGGTCCGTCGGGTGTGTGCTGTTCGAGCTAATTACAGGAGAGTTTTTGTTCAAACCAAAAGAAGATACAGGTTATTTTTTTTTGAGCACTTGCAACTACAGATTTTTAGCACTCGCAACTTCAGTTATTTAGCACTCGCAATTATAGTTTTTTAGCACTCGCAACTACAGGTTTTCAGCACTCGCAACTACAATTTTTTAGCACTCGCAACTACAAGTTTTTAGTACTCGCAACTACAGTTTTTTTAGCACTCGCAACTACAGTTTTTCAGCACTTACAAGTTACAATTACAAATTTTTAGCACTCGCAACTACAATATTTAGCAATCACAACTACAGTTTTTAGCACTCGTAACTACAGCTTTTAGCAATCGCAACTCGTATTCGCAGCTATAGTTTTTTGCACTCGCAACTACAGTTTTTCAGCACTCGAAGCTACAATTTTTTGGCTCTTGCCACTACAGATTTTAGCTTTCGCAACTACAGTTTTTAGCACTCACATTAGCAACAAAGTTTTTCAGCACTCGCAACTACGGTTTTTTAGAATTCGCAACTACAGTTTTTAGAACTCGCAACTACAGTTTTTTAGCACTCGACGCCACTACAGATTTTAGCACTCGCATTCGCAACGAAGTTTTCTCAGCACTCGCAACTACAGTTTTTTTAGCACTCGCAACTACAGTTTTTTAGCACTCGCAACTACAGTTATTTAGCACTCGCAACTAGTTTTTTAGCACTCGCAACTACAGTTATTTAGCACTCGCAACTAGTTTTTTAGCACTCGCAACTACAGTTATTTAGCACTCGCAACTAGTTTTTTAGCACTCGCAACTACAGTTATTTAGCACTCGCAACTAGTTTTTTAGCACTCGCAACTACAGTTATTTAGCACTCGCAACTAGTTTTTTAGCACTCGCAACTACAGTTATTTAGCACTCGCANGTAAGTTAAAAAATGTTGATTATTATGTAAATGCAGAAGTTACGTCTGTTTCATTTCATAGGAAAACCCCTTGCCTTTGTTTTCGATCGCTACTTTTTGTAAATTCGAATTATTTAACCGTTCGTTAAAATAAATTATTTTTTTAGCAATTTTGTCTTTTTTATTAAAACAATTTGACCATGTTCAGTGAAGCCAATTCTACTGGAAACGTGAATGTAGGGCGTCTACAAAAGTTTTATACAATACAAGTTCTAAAATATATTAAATTGAGACTGAAAAGGAGTGCGTAAGCAGGGAAAGTGATAAAAGAATTTAATTTTAGATTTTGATCACAGAGCAGAGATCGAGAAAGTCATAGGATCATTCTGCGGGGTATGTGCCACTTCAAATATAATTAAAGTACAAAGAAGGGAATGCCATATTTTCAACCCTTCAAATCTGTTATTGACCATTGAGGACAGAGAACTCCGTGTTTGTATTTCTTTAATGTTGTTCAAACCGGAGTGTACTTTTAGGGTACTGTGAACTCAATGCGGCTGAAGTCGCATTTATCCCAAATATTGTTTGTCCTAATACGGTTTTGAAAAATTCGGATGTAAATATTTATTTTCTGAGACAAATGTAGAAAGTTAATATTAATATTTCTTAACTATAGAACAGCTGTGATTGCAAACAAAGCGTTTCTCTAGATAAATAAGGATAAGTTCGTCTTCCTTGATCAGTCAAAGGTTTAAAGGGTACTGGTGTGAATCGGGCACACCACTCTACAAGTGGCGGCTGGGTTACTTGAACAAATTACACTTTCTGTCCCAATACTGTTATATCTTAACATATTGTTGTCGTACCAGTATAATTAGTAATTACGATTTGTTAAGATGGGAATAAAAAACTGGTTATGGTTCAAAGTTGGTGGATCTTAACTAACAATTTTATTTGCTAATTATACTTACCCTATATTTATTATCTATTACTGCATAACCATTTCTTAGTTTAATAGCAGTATGGCGTCTACAAAGGACCAGCCTTTATTGACAACCCAATTCTTCGCATGATTTACATGATGGTTTGGGGGAAGAAATAGTTTTCAGCTGATGGAAACCATGGATGTAAGTATAAGGGTAAATTCCGTACAGTCGTTTTTGAAGCCTCGTTCTAAGGGGGTAACGCTGTATGATGTATGAAAAAAAACCTTTGTATCATTGTTATATTTGCTCAAGCAAAAACATAAATCCAAGAGTCTTAAGTAAAAATCTTTCAATTTTTCTCTTATTAACTTCAAGCTTTGTTTAAAAAATTCTGCCTTTTAGTGTAATGAAAAGGTGTTCGCTTTGATTAAACAAATTAAAAGGTTCAATTTAAGAAATTTTCCTAAAACTAAAATTTCCTATTATTATTTTTCACTGTTTTAAATTATGTGTTCTATTATTGCAGCAGAGTGGTTCGAAAACGGAGAGTCTTTCGGTTTCCCAGCGGATTCTTCGGACGTCCAGGTTAACCTGTGCTGAAGTCTTTGAACTCCATTCGTTCTTGAAGTTTGTTCTGGTCCTGGATCCAGGTAAAAATCGCTTTTTAAAATATCAAATTTTGCCATCAAACTGAACTATGATGTTTTAGTCATCTATTGATGTTTTGTAGAACCAACCTAAAAACCTTGATAGATCATTAACGTACCAAATTTAAAGTAACCTTTTACGTGGGATGTATAGTAGACTAGATTTTTTTTTAGCTGTCCGGCCCTCTGCAAAGGAATGTCTCGAGCACAAGTTCTTTATGTAATGTGAACATTACTGCAGTGAAGATGTTTCAACGATAGATGCTTTGACTGCTCTTAAGTAGACAAGAATTCAAATCGAGATTTCTGGTCCTTTTTTTTAGATTGGAGCATTTTTTAATTGTATTTAAGTCTTCAGATTTTTGTAAATTGTTAGGTCTGCAAACTGAAAAGTGCGCATTAATATGTATGTAAATTGTAAATAATATTTTCATAGTGACTTGTGGAAAAGATTTATTGAAAATTTGAAAATTTGTAATTTACTGGCAGACAAGATGAGTCGGGGTGAGATTTCATTACCTTTTGGTGGTCGAAACTCATCGTGCAAGAAGCACCAGACATCTTTATCTGAGCGTCAGATGAGAATGATCTGTAGACTAGAGGAGGTTGGAACTGAGTTTTTAAAGACGAGCTCTTCTCTTCCTGTAGGATTCACAGGATCGGGACGGAAACCTGTAAACACAGGAACTCCTGGTCCTTCTCTTAACAGAACTATGGAGGAAAGGCTTCGAAGGTAACTTAAATTTGTACGACCGAGGGGGCATTTGTTTTAAAGAATTACTCCCCTTCCCCCATTTCTCTGAATGCAGATTGGGATGGGATGGGAAATTTCAAGGCTCTGGGAAATAACTTCAGCTTTAAAATTATTTTTACTTGTTATGTTCTCATCAAAAAAAACTTTTTATTTCCCCGAAAATAACTAAATTCAGCGATATTAAATATCCTTAANTAGCATAGTAAGAACTATATTTTCCAGGAGTAGAACTAATACAACCCGTTGTGGAAGGGGTCGGCGTCCGACGGGGGTTTAGGCCACCCTGGACAAAATTCATTTATGTATGTCAATTATTTTTTTAATGTTTAAGGTACCATGAGAGCCGAGAGTGTCAGAAGATTTTGAGCTTTCGTGAGACTCTTCCGGTGGCCAGCTACAAAGCTGAGATATATAAACATGTTTCTGAAAACCAGGTTAAACATAAACTAGGGGGTTTGGGGTGCTCAGGTTGAAATCGGAAGTAGGGGAGGGGTTGAGGTAGGGCGGGGACAGGAGAGAATTCCTTTAAAACTGACCACTTAAAAATAGTTATGGGACTTAAATTAGCTCACGGGTTGATTGGCATTGTTTTTATTTATTTTGATAACAAAACTACCAGAAATTTAATGAACTTTTTGTGCATTTTAACATTTTTTGTTTGCGTTTTCGAACTATTATTTTGGGTGCATTTGAAATATTTTATTGTGATTATGCTTCTTCACAAATTTTTTGTGCAGTTAAACTTTTTTGTTTGTTTGTTTGAACCATTTTTAAAAGGATTTTTTGATCTATTTCTTCTAATAAAATTGCAAAAGTATTTACATTTGAACTCTTATTTATATTCTCTAGAATGTTATTTCAAAATTAAAGTTGCTTATGTTCAAAGAAAATTGTATAAATGAGCAAAATATGCGTGTTAATTTAAACTACAATAAATTTGACTGAATACTCAAGGTTTTTGTTCTATCTGGAGAGACTGGGTGTGGGAAAACTACTCAAATTACTCAATTCATCTTAGACCATGCCATTCAAGCAGGTACATTGCACATTATACAGGTTGTTTTTTTTGGCATTAATTAATTTTTTTTAACTTTTAAAATGTCAAATCAGTTAATATTTCAGTAAAAACAGTACTTAAACAGAACATGTTTTAAAATGTCAAATCAGTTGGATATTTCAGTAAAAACAGTACTTAAACAGAACATGTTATGGACCCCTCCCCTCCTTCTCAATTAAATGTGCCCTGGACCCCGCCCATCCTTCTAAATTAAATGTGCCCTAGATTACCACCCAACTTCTGAATTAAATGCTCTGTGAACCCCAACCCTCCTCCTGAATTAAATGTGCCGTGGACCCCGCCCCTATTTTTCCATCTTAACTAAACCTTACTTGAAAAAAGTATTATTACGGGATGTTGCCCTTTGAGTGGGAATTAGGGTCCAGAATAAGTACGTGAGGTCGGGGCCAACAGTTTAAATGGATCAATGTCTTCTAGACTTGGAATTAGAATTTTATTTTGTCATTGTTCAAGTGTTACTAACATTATCAACGTACAAGATTATGCATTTTCTCCAGTAATAATTTAGTTGGTCCCCGTATTCCTTCTTTGTTAAAAAAATACTGTCTGTCAGGGTTCCATTCTCTACTGTACTGCCGGGATACTCCTCCAGCGTTTACAATCAGACAGAAACCTTCTCCAGTTCTCCCATATAATACTGGACGAGGTTCATGAGAGAGATGTTATGACGGATATTATTCTTGTTCTTCTCAAGGAGGTTCTAGTGTCCAGACCTGATGTAAAGGTAATTTATAAAATCTATAAAAAGAAACATTTTGAAAAACTCATCACTACATCATAATTAGCACTTGTAAACAAAACTCTACAGTAAACTAATTAGTTGTTTAGGAACCGGTTTAGAAAAAGTATCAATAAATCATAAAAGAATATGTGACATACAGGGTGGCCAAAATGTACGGATTGTACGGATTTTTTTTCAAATTGTACGGATTGTACGGATTTTTATCCTGGAAATACACCGGTTTTTTTAAATTTTCACTCATTTCAGCAAGTTTTTCATGAAAATTTCAAAAAAAAATCTCGTCAAAATGAAGTTAGTTTAACTTATTTTCTGCATTCTTAATAATATTAGATTGATTAACGTTTCAATTGACAATCAAAATTCATTCATAATTTTCGAGATATGTCCAAGAAGTGTTTATTTGAGAATATGTTCCATAAGTACTTATTTGATTGCTTATTCAAGAAGATGTTCCAGTATCCTGTACCCAGTATCCTGTACCCAGTATC